TAGGGATGGGCAAGGGAAAAATATATCGATATATAACTTTAAACAGTATCGATATCATATCGCGTGATAAATAACGATATATCGGCATCATTTGCATGATGTAAGGATAAGGCCCAAAATTTTACATCACCAACGGTTGGACGACGAAAAAAAAACGACCACCACACATGAATGCTTTTCTAGCTCCTTTTGTTGTTTCATGTTTTGCCCATTAATACAACATTTTAAAATATATCGAAATTGATACAAATTTGCCACTCTAAAATAAAGATCGATATATCGCGATTAAAAATATCGACCTTAAAGAAAATATCGATATTTTTTACCCAAGCCTACTTTGGCAGTAGTATTTAGGTACTATCGCAGTACTAGACTTCTTTCATCTTGCATCTTTGACGTTACTGCCCCGGTCCCTGGTCTAGGCATTCTATGTGAGGTGTAAACGAGATGGTTATAACGCCATGTATCCGAAGCCAAGATATTTTTTGACATTTCTCACAGTCGCCTCTTACGACACCCACCGGGGGTGATGGATTTTCTTAAGCCCCACCATTCGGTAAATGAGTGATTATTTGCGCTTGGTGAGTGCAGGTGGCCGGAGACCCAATTCCCCCCCCCCCCCCCACCCATCAACATGGTAGTGGAATTAAATAAAAGACTACCCCAGGATGGTACCAGCACCCCTGGAGAAATGAATGCTCGCTGAGCATCCACGACCAAACTACTCCACTCCTGAGCGTGGGTGCTCAGGCTGCCCCGCGTATTCTGGGGGGGGGGGGGGGGTAAATTCCGCTCGCGACTAATGCTGCTCGGGGCAAGCGGAGCAATAAAACCAAGGCGACCCCTGTCACGCTATCCGTGAATTTTTGCTACATCAGGGGACTTCATTCCAACCTTAACGCTGTCCATTACCATCTAGAGACGGCGAAGCCGGCCTTGCTCTTTTTAACCGAGACTCAGGTGTCCTCTCCGGCTGATACTTCATATCTCTCCTACTCAGGGAACAAACTAGAACACTCCTATGTCCCCGGGCTGGAGTCTGCGTATACGTCAGAGAGGACATCTGTTTTCGACGCCTCGGCAGTCTTGAAGGTACGGACCTGTCCACCCTATGGCTAGGCGTAGACAGCGACGACCATCCCCGCGTCTACGGGTGCCTCTATAGGTCCCATCGACCAACTCCGTGCTACAACAGGTCCCATCCGCAGAGATCGTGATACTCGGTGATTTTAACGCCCACCACGCTGAATGGCTTCGTTTAACCGATCATGCGGGTAGATCTGTTTATGACTTTGCCTTGGCATATGGTCTAACACAACTGGTTACTTCGCCTACGCGGATCCCAGATTTGGAAGACCATGTACCTTCCCTGTTGGACCTTCTGCTAACCTCTCATTCGGACGGATATCAGGTCTCCGTCGATGCCCCTCTGGGCTCTTCGCACCATTGTCTGATCCGGAGTTCGGCGCCACTCACGCTCCAATCGCAATTGCGAGCTGCGGCTTGCCGCCGTGTTTGGCACTATAGGTCAGCCGATTGGGACGGGATGCGGTCTTTTTTTGCATCCTACCCTTGGGGGCGGGATTGCTTCTCGCCGGAAGATCCCAGCGTTGTTGCCGATTCTGTTGCTGATGTGGTACTTCAGAGTATGGAACTTTTTATTCCATCCTCTGTGGTGCCCATCGGAGGCAGATCCCAGCCATGGTTTGGTCGCTCCTGTAAAATAGCATCACGATATAAGCAGGAGTGCTACCAGGCCTGGGCTGACGCATCAACGTCTCGGGATGTAAACACCAGCGCACTTAAAAAGACGTATAATTCCGCCTCCAGGTCCTTCAAAAGTGTCATTGCCAAGGCGAGGTCTGAGCACATCGGCAGAATTGGCGAGAAGCTAGTTCGCCTTCCTGCAACCTTTCCTTCCTGGGAACCTGTGAATTCTGGTCTCTCGCCAAGGCTGTCCAAGGGAACTTCTGTCAGCCATCTCTTCCATCTCTGCACAGAGAGGACGACTCACTGGCCCATGCCGCAAAAGAGAAAGCCGATCTGTTGAGCTCTCTCTTTGCGTCGAACTCGACTCTAGACGACGGGGGGAACACACCGCCGACCATCCTGCGATGTGAGTGCTCCATGCCGGATGTGTGGTTTACACAGCGCTCGGTTCGCAAAGCACTCTTCTCCCTGGACGTCAGCAAGTCGAGTGGGCCCGATGGAATCCCTCCTATTGTGCTGAAGACGTGTGCTCCGGAGTTAGCACCAGTTTTAACGCGTCTTTTCCGGTATTCCTACTCCCAAGGCGTTGTCCCGAATTCATGGAAGACAGCTTTGGTCCACCCGATCCCTAAAAAAGGCGACTGCTCAGACCCGTCCAACTACAGGCCTATAGCCATCACCTCCTTGTTCTCCAAAATAATGGAATCCATTTTGAACTGCCAGCTTATGAGGTACCTTGAGGATCACCAGCTGATTAGTGACCGCCAGTACGGTTTTCGTCGGGCTCGATCAGCTGGTGATCTTCTGGTCTCTCTGACTTATAGATGGGCGGAGGCAGTAGTGTCCAAGGGGAAGGCATTGGCCGTTAGTTTGGACATTAGCGAAGGTCTTAGATGGGGTCTGGCACAAAGCGCTTCTTTCGAAGCTTCCTTCCTATGGGCTTCTCGAGAAATTGTGCAAATGGATCACCAGTTTCCTTGCTGATCGGAGCATCAAGGTCGTAGTAGACGGTGCATGCTCTGATTTCAAGCCTATCAACGCTGGTGTTCCACAAGGCTACGTGCTATCACCAACGCTGTTTCTCCTGCATATCAATGATATGTTGCAAACTGGTAGCATTCATTGCTATGCAGACGACAGCACTGGTGATGCCTTATATACCGGTCGTGCCAATATTTCTCGGGATAACGTCGCCGAGTACCGGGACAAACTTGTGTCTGAAGTCGAGTCTTTGCTGAACAAAGTCTCGGATTGGGGGTGACTAAATCTAGTCCAGTTCAATCCCCAGAAGACACAAGTTTGCGCGTTTACCGCTAAAAAGAACCCCTTTGTCGTATCTCCTCAGTTTCAAGGCACTCCCCTTGCTGCCTCAGCTGGTATCGGAATCCTTGGCGTCGACATATCGAATAGTGCGCAGTTTCGTGGTCACTTGGAACTTGGAAGAGAAGGCCAAATTGGCCTCTAAAAAGCTTGGCGTGCTCAGCAGAGAGAGACAGTATTTCATGCCGGCACATCGCTTGCAACTTTACAAAGCGCAAGTTCGGCCTCACATGGAATACTGTTCTCATCTCTGGGCAGGGGCACCCCAGTGCCAGCTCCTTCCACTTGACCGCATTCAGTGCAGAGCGGTTCGAATCGTCGACGACCGAGTTTTTTCTGATCGGCTCGATACACTGGCACTGCGTAGAGATGTTGCATCTCTTTGCGTATTTTATCGCATCTATCACGGGGAGTGCTCTGAGGAATTGTTAGGACTAATTCTAGCCGCTCAACTTCACCATCGCACATCGCGACAAAACTCGCGTTACCATCCATACCATTTGGATGATTGGCGGTCCGTCACTGTGCGATTTAGAAGATGTTTTCTCCCTCGTACAACTTCCTTGTGGCATCGATTACCACCAGGGATTTTTCCGGACCGATACGACTTAGGGACCTTCAAGAAAAGAGCCTACTCCTTTTTAAAAGGCCGGCAACAAATCTGCAATTCCCCTGGTGTTGCAGTTGTTCATGGGCGGCGGTAGTCACCATCAGGTGAGCCGCATGCTCGTTTGCCCCCTCTTCTATAAAAAAAAGACTGACGGACAGCGGAGGCTTAGTAATATGGTTCCGTTGGTTACCCTTCGGGTACGTAACCCTAAAAAGGGTATCCGGTTCTCTACACTCACCATGCAAAACACAGCATTATTCTTATGTTTTACGCTAGTATTCTGTGAGAGGGTGGACCTACACCGGTCGAGCCTACCTATTCGTGTTGCAGCTATAAAACTGCTGTAGCGTGGCTCTAACACGTACGTAGTTCACCGTGCTTGTAAATCGGGCATTTAGAGATGTTGTTAGTTGTTACACTAAACTTATTAAAAGTTCTAACAATACGATGCTGGACCTAAGGCTTATGCATAACTACAAATCACATCAGATGCGTGCCTCTGTGCCAAATTGGGACTAGCTTTTAGGACTTCTATTATACCTGGGTCTGGGTAGGTACCACCCTTTTTACGTGGTAGAGCCATGCTGCAGCAATATATAGTATAGTTGTAGCACGAATGGGTCGGCTCGACCGGGGAAGGACCACGCTCTCATAGAATAGCAGCTTAACGCTGCTGTGTTCATATAGTGAGTGTAGAGAACCGGAGACCTATTTTACTGGAAAAGAGGCATTCTGTCCTAGTCCTCACGGCTGACAACTCATCTGCATTTTAATTCGCAAACGAAGATAGATGTAGATATCTATGCGTCACAGCAACCAATTACCATTAGATGGACTGTGTGCTCGTTTGTCACTATTATTCTATAAAAATTTTTTTTACCTATATCCCTTGCCAAGCAGCAGTTTTAAGTTGATTGCATGTGTATATTGACAGCAGTACAGACAAGAAGCCAATAACCACGTACCATTAGGGGGGATAGTAAGTTCGTTTGTCATTTATTTAATTTTATAATAAAAGGACGTGTAATCTTCTGCTACTGTTGTTTGCACAGTTAACAGCTACCGACAGTATTTGAACGACGACTATGGTCGAGATAGGCCAAGAGATGAACGTAATCAAACTTTTTTAAGTAAAGAATTAAGAATTAATATGCACACAAATCGTAACTTATAAACATACTGTATGTCGCATGTGGCATGAACTATACTACCATACAAACAGATAAAGGCATCAAGTACTAAAGGTCTTTCTAACCCATATTGATTACTTGGTCAGAGGTTAAAGGCGATAACTAATTAAAGATGGCATTTTGACGTTTTAGTCTAACGCTTTGTATAATAATATGCATTAGTGTCAAACATGAAAGTATTAATATTTTTCATAATTTTAGTTTTTGGAACCAACGTAGTTAAAACGTTGCAAATATTAAATAATACAAAGACTAAACTAGTAAATAAAGATGATGGGAAAAGCAGCTTGGTGTTTGTGTTTGATACGACTGGCTCCATGTTTAATGACCTGCGGCAGTTACGGGAAGGTGCTGAAATGATCTTGAAAACTGCATTAGAAGAAAGCAATATTATAGCCGACTTCGTGTTTGTGCCTTTTCACGATCCTAGTAAGTATTTTTCTTACATTTATGTTTTCATTACCTTTATGGTGTTTAAATAATGTTGATGCTGTTTTCTGCCGACTTCCAAAAAGGATACGGTACTCAAATCGACTGTATGTTTTTTTTACGTGTGTTACCTCATAACTTTTTACTGGTTAAACCGATTTCAATGATTCTTTTTTTATTTGAAAGCTGGTACTTCTCGTGTGGTCCCATATGAATTTGATCAAGGTCAGGCCAATAGTTTTTGAGTTATTCTTAATAACTTATATTGAAGTCGGCTGTACAAAATTTTTAATTTTAAATTATCCTGTAAGGTTTTTGATTTGAAGTGCCCTTGACAAGAAAGCAGCTACTATGACGAGAAGGAAAAGACAATCAACAAGTGGTCAAACATTTTGTACAACCGACTTCAATATAAATTATTAAGGATAACTCAGAAACTACTGGTCAGACCTTAATCAAATTCATATGGGACCACACGAGAAGTACCAGCTTTCAAATAAAAAAAGAATCATCAAAATCGGTCCCCTAGAAAAAAGTTATGAAGTAACACACATTTAACAAAAAACAGTCGAATTGAGTACCTCTTCCTTTTTGAAGTCGGTAAGTAAGAAATCAAACGAAGATAAGTGAGGCTATTGAAATTAAAAAAAAAAACATCCTAATTTCAATAGAGAAGATGGATGGTTGCTGCCATTTGAATGGGATCCTATAATTAACAAAATTAAATCCAAACCCAAGCATACCACCGCAAGACTTCAAGATACTGTAAGCTCGTTCTGCGCAGATTGGACCCAAAAATTAATATTCAAAACCTGAAGGTAGCCGGGCTAACATCTCAGTCCATGTCATCTCGTGACCATGGGTGCTGTAAAGCACCCGGAACGTCGGGAATTAAAATAAGTAAATTAAACGCGATAAAATCCGTAAAACTAGTTTTATTCAATGTGTATACAGTATTCGCGTAAATATAAGAAATCATTAAGTAAACGAATATTTCACATAACCGACATATTCCAACAGATCAGTGAGCTGAAGTGGCAATGAGTTAACCATATAGCTCAAAGAAATGACAGCCAATGGGGAAAAAACGAAAAAAAGGAAAAAAGCGAAGTGTAGGGCGGCCACCACTATGGCCTAAGAGATGTAGGAAGTTGATGGATGCGGGTGGCTTAGGCCCGTGCTTTGTGGCATTCTTTGAGGGAGACACATCAGCAATGGACTTTTCATTTACACGAAGACATTCTCTCCGATAGATCTATATTACGAGACGCTATTACCCAAAAAACATGTTAACATGCACAATAACGGTACTTTCCATTTAGCTAAATACATAATTCCGTCATTGTTGTGAGTATTGCACATCTGGAGGCTTATTAACATGACCCTTTCTGTCACTTCTGGCATTATCTGCATTCCTCAGTAAACAGGACTGAATTATATGCACGAAAATTGAAGGAGCTCTTGCCGGTGACGTTTGGTTAATTTTGAAGCAAGGTTGCAGCAGGTTTCATCGTCGTATTTGGCACTATAGGTCAAACGATTGGGACGGGATGCGATCTTTTTTTGCATCCTACCCTTGGGGGCAGGTTTGCTTCTTCCCGGATAATCCCAACGTTGTTGCTGTTTCTGTTGCTGATGTGGTACTTCTGGAATGGCATTATTTATTCCATCATGTGTGGTGCCTATCGGAGGCAGAACTCAGCCATGGTTTGGTCACTCCTGTAAAATTGCATCACGTTATAAGCAGGAGTGCTACCGGGTCTGGGCTGACGCATCAACGTCCCGGGATGTAAACACCAGCGCTTTTAAAAAGAATTATAATTCCGCCTCCAGGTCCTTCAAAAGTGTCATCGCCAAGGCAAAGTCAAAGCACTTCGGCAGTATTGACGAGAAACTAAATCGCCTCCCGTCGGGAATACGTGCATTCTGGTCTCTCGCCAAGGCTGTCCAAGGGAACTTCTGTCAACCATCTCTGCCATCTCTGTACAGGGTGGACGACTCACTGGCCCATGACGCAAAGGAGAAAGCCGATCTGCTAAGCTCTCTTTTGCTTCCAGTCGACTCTAGATGACGGGGGGAATACACTGTTTACATAGCGCTCGGCGCGTAAAGCACTCCTCTCCCTGGACGTCAACAAGTCGAGTGGGTCTGATGGAGTCCCACCTATTGTGCTGAAGATGTGTGCTCAGAAGTTGGCACCGGTTTTAAAGCGTCTTTTCCGGTACTCCTACTTCCTAGGCGTAGTCCGAACTCATGGAAGACAGCTTTGGTGCACGTGATCCCTAAAAAAGGCGACTGCTCAGATCCGTCCAACTACTAGCTACCAGCCTATCGCTCTCACCTCCTTGTTCTCCAAAGTAATGGAAACCATTATTAACTGCCAGCTCATGCAGTACCTTGAGGATCACCAGCTGATTAGTGACCGCCATTACGGTTTCCGTCGAGTTCGCTCAGCTCTTGATCTTCTTGGTTACCTAACTCATAGATGGGTGAAGGCAGGAGTCCAAAGGGGTGGTAGTTTGGACATTGAGAAGGCCTTCGATTGGGTTTAATATAAAGCGCTTCTTTCGAAGCTGCCTTCCTATGATCTTCCCGGGAATTTGTGCAATTGGATCACCAGTTTCCTTGTAGATCGGAGCAACAAGATCGTAGTCGATGGTGCATGCTCCAATTACAAGCCCACTAACGCTGGTGTTCCACAAGTGCTATCACCAACGCTGTTTCTTCTGCATATCAGTGGTATGTTGCAAACCGGTAACATTCCAAGCACCATGCAAGCTGTATACGAGCTGTATTGGAGTTCCTTTTTATACTACAGGCTGCATTTACTGGCTGTACAAAGGCTGTATAAGCGCTTATACAGCTCTTATAAGTAAAAATTTGCCACAAATTATACAGCTTTATGCGTTAGTAGCGCTGTACAGTAGCTGTACAAGCACAAAAGGGGCTGTATAATAGCTGTATTATAGCTGTTATTTGGTGTACATATACAAGGAAACTATTAGACTACAAATACTATCTTATAAGTATCTTTTACAGATAAACGTTCTAAATTGGTGTTTGAACGGTATCACAAATGAAATTATGACAAAAATAACTTAATAGGTTTACTTTATTGAATGATGGCGACATTTATAGTGAGTTAAACATTATATTATATATTAATATTACTTGGATTGGAGTTGAGTTTTGACGGTGATAACTGGTGAATAGAAAGTGCAAAGTTAGATTTACGGTAAACTTGTATATAATTTCTATCAAAAAATAGCCGCGCCAGTAAAATAACGAAATAATATAAGGACAAAATACTAAATATGGTAAGTAAATATTGATTTTATAGGTTAGAATAAGAAAATAATTAAATTAGTGAATATGAATGCATATTGGGGCAAGGTGATCATTAGTCAAACTAAAAATAATGGTTTAGGCTAAAACTAATGTCTCATATTCCTAAATTTACAATTTAAATTTTGTTTTTATAGGTCCTAAAATGGAGACAATTTGCTAAACAGCCTAAAGGATATTTCGAGGTTCTTATAGTCTTAGTAGCTGTACTATGTATGTTATGGATTCTTTTATACAGCCATTAGTTTTTAATCAGTTGTATAATAGAATATTTTGATTACTAACGCTGTATAGTAGTTTTTAAAACATCACAGATAAGTCTTTAGAGATATGTATAAAAGATTAAAAACCTTTATCTTAGAAACAACACTTTTATACCTTCTTCACTTTATCTCATTTAAATAATAATATTTTAAGATGTAATCGTGTTTAAACATGGACAAGGACAATAAGTGCTTACTTTTTTCACTTCTTTTAAAACAGAGACTATATAAAGCCACACAGACAAAGTTGATAAATTGAAAAAATATTTTTTTATTTTTGTACCAACCTAAAACCATCGATTTAATCGAAATGATTGTATTTATTGGCATTAAATTACTTCCCCTTTGATTCAGTTAAATTCACAAACCAAACCAAAAATATGACTACCTTTAGCAAATAAAGATTAGCTATACATCTTTTCTATCTAATGTTAAAAAGTGGAGTAATGTCTTTCTTTGCCAAGCAATATTAAGGAAGGCACATTTTATGACAGAATATTTTATCTCACTCAGCAGTACGGTACCAGTACGAGCATGCTGTTTATTTTGTTATTGTGTTTAGTTGATAGGTAACTCCTGGCAAGCGCATACGCATATCGTTTTCTATTCATACTCTTACGTCACGTAGGTACGGCAAAACCAAAAGAGGTAGCTATTTTATTTGATATATAATTTAACTTTTGTGAAGTAATTTGACTGTGTTGTGTATAAAAGCTTTTACAAAAATTTACTTCGCAAATATCCGCGTTATAAAATAAAATGATGTGTCTTACCTAGTATGAAGAAGCACCTCCCGCCCTCCCTCAATTGCGTGCACTAACCCCGTCACCACTAATCCCAGCACCGCTACTCCCAACACCACTACACTAGGCAAGACACACCACTGACGATAATACGACACGTGTTTCGCCTCTACACGAGGCATCCTCAGGTGATATAGACTCTACGGTGGCTAACCGCTAAGTGAGCGGCGAGCCAAAACAACTGCCTTTTATACAAACGGATGACGCAACCGCTCTCTACCTAAGAAGCGAGCGACTGCGTCATGCGATAAAACATGCGACCAATCACCGCTGGACTTACGCAGCCGTTTGTAAAATTAAAAACAAACCGCCGCGCAACGCCCACATTATTAGAGAGCAGGCTTGAAGATATTTAAGAGAGGTGAGTTAGTAACATTTGTTTGTTCATTCAGCAATGCAACGGTATTATTATTACTTTTTAATATTTCTAACTGTTCCAGCACACACAGCCGCAGCCCTTTATTACACGTATGTAAGACTTTAAAGGAGTGGTCGTTGGCTAGGTTGTGTCCAGTGTCCAAAAGATGTTTGGCAAAATGGGATTTATCGGGATTGCAATTCCTGTACGCGGCTAAATGCTCTTTATAACGTGTCTCGAAATTGCGACCAGTCTGACCCACGTAAACGGCGTGGCATTCGTCACAAACAAGTTTGTAAACACCTGACTTTTGACGAATATCCAACTTATCTTTACTATTACAGATATTTCTAAGAGAATTGTTTGTTTTAAACGCCACATAAACGCCGTTTTGTCGAAGAGTATTAGCTACTTTTTCAGATATGGGGCCTAAGTAGGTCAAACTGCTCACATATCGATGAACACTTTGAGTTTGAACCGCGTACAGAGAGTTGCGAATAACATGCTTTTGTTTCTTTTTAATTAAATTGTTAATGAGATTTTTTGAAAAACCGTTAGAGACCGCTATTTGATAAATTATATTAAGTTCTTTTAAAACCGTAGAGTCTATATCACCTGAGGATGCCTCGTGTAGAGGCGAAACACGTGTCGTATTATCGTCAGTGGTGTGTCTTGCCTAGTGTAGTGGTGTTGGGAGTAGCGGTGCTGGGATTAGTGGTGACGGGGTTAGTGCACGCAATTGAGGGAGGGCGGGAGGTGCTTCTTCATACTAGGTAAGACACATCATTTTATTTTATAACGCGGATATTTGCGAAGTAAATTTTTGTAAAAGCTTTTATATAATGGATTTCCGCAAAGTAACGCCTGATTCTATTAATTGTGTTGTGTATCTTATACTGGATTAATTTTACTTCATAATCAGGTGCCGAGAACTAAGTTACATTTGACATAACTGTGATCATGGTTAACACTGTTTAATGTTTTTGTTACGGAACCCTCTTTGTTAGCCGTCGATGGGATTGACGCTTAACTGTAGCTTGTCTGATTTATTAAAGTATTTCTATATTCTTCAGTATCACTATTATTACGTTGATAATTTGTAATATTTAAATATTCCCTTTTAATCCTTCCTCTAACTGCACCAAATATTTTTCTTTTTTTACACATGTTGATAACAAATTAATTTGTTCACTATATAGCACAATATATTAAACACGCAATTACGCATTCAAAATGGCGATATTCTATCACTTATACAGACTTAATTTGTACTATAGCTGTTTTTTTTTAGTTTTATATCACTCTCATAGCCAGAAGTTATAAAACTACTGTATTTACAAGAGTGTACAATTACGCCATAAGAATAAGTTTTACAAGGGAGTTCACATATACACCATTGTACAGAAATAATATTTGAATGATACTATTATAACACTTAAAGCTGTAATAAGCAAGTGACAGCATGCAAAAAAACAGCTTCTATACAGCTTTAATGATAAAATCAGATTGAAATGTAACAAAATACTTAAAGCTGTATAGTAGAATTTTCATATTCTGATTAAGAACCCTAAGCGTACTTAGATTCCATAATACAGACTTTATACAGCTTGAGCTGTATAATAACTCATAAACCACTCTTATAAGGATATAACCTCTTTTCAACACTCTTATACGTATTTAAAATAACTCTATGTTCAATGAGGTTGATCCCACAAATAACACTTATAACGAGACAATTGCTTCCAGATTGTGAAAGTCCTGGAACCAGAGCCCTTTATACAGCTTGAGCTGTATAATAACTCATAAGCCACTCTTATAACTATACAATCTGTTTTCGACACGCTTATACGCTTCTAATAGAACTCTAAGTTCTATATGGGCTGGTATATTGATGTTCATAACGCTTGTGTGCTGCTTGGGATGGTGATGCTTTATACACCGGTGTCTTTGCTGAACAAAGTTTTGGATTGGTGGCGACTAAATCTAGTCCAGTTCAAACCCCAGAAGACACAATTTTGCGCGTCATATCTCCTCAGTTTCAAGGCACTCCCCTTGCTGCCTCAGCCAGTATCGGAATCCTCAGCGTCGACATATCGAGTGCCGTGCAGTTTCGTGGTTATTTGGAAGAGAAGGCCAAATTAGCCTCTAAAAAGCTGGGCGTGCTCAGCAGAGCGAGACAGTATTTCATGCCAGCACACCGCTTGCAACTTTTCAAGGCGTAGGTTCGGCCTCACATGGAATACTGTTCCCATCTCTGCGTAGGGGCTTCCCAGTGCAAGCTCCTTCCACTTGACGACATCCAGCGCAGAGCAGTTCGAATCGTCGACGACCTAGTTCTTTCCGATCCGCTGGACTCACTGGCACTGCGTAGAGATGTTGCATCTCTTTGCGTATTTTATCGCATCTATCACGGTGAGTGCTCTGAGGAATTGTTCGGACTAATTCCAGCCGCTCAATTTCACCATCGCACATCGCGACAAAACTCGCGATACCATCCATACCATCTGGATGATTGGCGGTCCACCACTGTGCGATTTAGAAGAAGTTTTCTCTCTCGCACAACTTCCTTGTGGAATCGATTACCACCAGCGATTTTCCGATACGATTTAGGGACCTTCAAGAAAAGAGCCTACTCCTTTTCAAAAAGCCGGCAACGCATCTGCAATCCGCCTGGTGTTGCAGTTGTTCATGGGCGGCGTTAGTCGCTTACCATCAGGGTGAGCCGCATGCTCGTTCGTCCCCTTTCCTATAAAAAATAATTACAGGGAATTATTTCAACTATTCATTAATTACTTTTGCATAGCATAGATTGTGTAGGTATGTCATTCATTTATTTACATAAAATTATATACATGTGTCACAGTGCATCATCTTCTTCGATCTTAAGAAGGGAAATTATCGGTTTATGGTAATTATAATAAGTAATGAAAACTCGATTCTAATTTTTATAGGAACCATACTGCAGCAGCTGCTGCATTGCACTGCATTTTTTTATTTAACGGTAAAATAACGAATTTGTTTGTTTGAACGAAAGTCAGTTGTAATCTTGTAATTATAATTGTATTACCATATAATTTATGGTATTGGTATGTAATGGCGACGAATGATCGACCTGAATGACCCGGTACGTAGTGTTTACCTCCACTACTTTTCGTCACACAAAAAGGTTGCTTTTAAACTGACCTTTACTACACACAAGCTGTACAATTCATATTGCGTGTAGTGGTGATATCAATGAACCCGTCAACTAATCTCGTCCTATGGGCACTACTACTAAGAGAAAAGAAGACTAAAAAATAAGTACAAGATTTTTTTTTAATTTCAGCGATAGGCCCAGCAACCGTGACGAAAAATAAGGACGTGTTCAAAGCTGCTCTCAATATTGTTCGTGTGCACGGTGGTGGTGATTGTCCGGAAAAGTCATTGGGTGGCATCCACCTTGCTCTGAGCGTTAGCAGACCCAGGTCTTTTGTGTACGTGTTTACCGATGCAACTGCTTCCGATCATAAGCTAGTCGGTAAGGTACTGGACGCTGTGCAGAGGAAGCAAAGTCAGGTCAGTGGTATTTATATTCAATAAGTTAAGAATTGTTTAATAAACACTAATCTAAAGACAGCAAGGTTCAAAGTAAAATCTGTATCTATTGCCGCCTCATCCCTTTCGTCAAGTTTTTTTTTTAAACAACATTATTTGCTATTAGATATTAACTTGAGTAAGTATTGTTAACAAACATCATATACAAATCAGGGAATGTTTTAGTCTACCTGATGATAACTAGATGCAATAGCGCATTGACACCCATCAAAATGCAGATGATTTTGATTGTCGTCTCTGAGAACTGAGATGGAATGTCTCGATACCAGCTAAAAAAATCTCCGGTTGTAGACAATCACCATACTAAACACAGCAGCATTATGCTGCTATTGACTGCTTCTTTATTCTAGTGCGCGACATTTTATCTGACCACGTGCTAGGCTGTGAATGAAAACGTCATGACGAAATCTACATGTTTGAGAAATATATTTTTTTCTAAAACATGTGAAGTCTGCTAACACGCACTGAGGCAGCGCGGCGAACATTTCCTCGCTCTAAAACGCTCTTAGAAATGAAAAGTTTGTACCCAGGAGTGGGACGTATATAAGCTTTAACATTACTTTCTCAACTAAGTAGGTACAAAATTGATTCATCGTCCTTTCTATACCGCCCTTTTAGAAACGGTAAACTTAAATGTTTGTTTACGTAACAGTACCGCCGCAATTGATTTTTTTTTAAATTTGTTAGGTGGTATTCGTACTAACCGGACACTGCAATGACTTAAAGAAGCCCTCCTACAAGGTGTACCAGCAGATCGCTACGGCCAGCTCGGGTCAAGTCTTCAATTTAAACAAGACAAATGTCCACAAGGTTTTTAATTGGATTTATTTAATTTGAAATAGTTTTAAGTTGGTGGTGACGGTAGATTGTCACCCCATTTTATCTCATCATGATTATTGTTAGAATTTACCGTCTTTTTTTTGGTTTCCGCTGGAGTTTACACCCTCCGCGGGAATATGTTGTCAATTTTCCACAAACATTTGACACACTGAGAGTGGAGAAACAATTTACGCGTAATTGTCTTCCACTCTCTATTATTACTAATTCAGTTTTGTTGTTTTAAAAAAAGATTACGTTATTACATAATTTTCTTCTGTTTTGCTTAAGATTAACTCCATTAGGTTTATTCATGAAATTTGAGATTGTGGATACACGAGAGGTCTTTATTAGGTATGCAAAATTACAAGTACTTGGCTAGTCGTTTTTGAGTTATGAGGGGTTTGAAAGTGGCTCGAAACGCTTCGTGTAAATATAAACACTGCCAGTGCGTCGCACTTTTCTTTTCCGAACTTGGCTGACACGCTGTCGTGTTTCTAAATTGATTTTTGATATGATACAAGTGATTTTTTTGTAATTAACGGTACATTACATACAACACTAGAATTTTCTCCTGTATTGTGGAGGCAGTTTACAAACATAAATTGCACAAGGACAAACAACCAGACCCGGAACAATTACTTGCAGGCCATACAAATACTTGTTCCGTGCGGGATCCGAACCCCGGGCCTTTAGCGTAGCAACTCTATGGGTCATGTGGCCAATTTATTTTTAAATTATGTAAAGATTAAACCAACCCTAGTGGCCCCGGGGGGCAGCTACTCACGCTACGCCACTGCCATGAAATAATATGTCTCTAGGTGCTGGAATTCGTAAGAAGTTCTATAAGGGGAAGAAACGTAAATCTGGGTTCCGCGGTACATCCTGCTGGCTACAACTACACACAAGAGGTAAGTTTTAAATGTTTTTTTTTTAATAGAATAAGGGCGGCAAACGAGCACACCGTCTACCTGATAGTTAGTAGAAGCTGTGATCCATAAACATGTAAATGTAGATTTATCCTCGATTTTGAATCAAAATGCATATGCGTTCTCACCCCTGAGGACTAAGATGGAATGCCTCGTTTCTAGTAAAAAAGGGTCTCCGGTTTTCAACACTCATCATACGAAACACAGCAGCTATTTTACGTTGGTATTCTATGAGATCGTGGTCCTTTCGTTTCCTTTGGAAAAGAAGCAATGATGTTCTTTGATATAATGTTAATAATAGGATCAAAGCCTACTAATTCTGTTGTCTTTGAGCAACAAACACTGTTCGATCCTAAAGGGGTACATAGGTACTGGTCAACGTTCACTGGTCACGCATGATAAATGAAACATTACAAATAATCCGAATGCACAGTTTATTCACTTAAATAGTAACATTATAGGCATCTATTGACACGTAAGTACATAATAGCGTCTCGTGAAACGCAGCGCGAACGCGGGAACAATCAATAATAATACATATGTACAGCTCGGAGCTAGTCGGCTAGCATACTGCTTATAGCGGCAGTCAAAGGTTCGGACGAGTGGCGTGATCCCGTGGCGCAGGCGGGGCATCGTACGAGAGGGGATAGTGAGACATCGGGTGACATAGGTAAGTATCAGCGCGCTACATACTCCCCCTTTTGACCAAGAGGGAACATCACGAATGGTCAAACTAATAGTTAGCGCCTAGCTGCGATCCTTACGCGGACGACCCCTACGACGCTTAGGAGCAACCGGCTCCGGACATTCTCCACTACCCCTGTCATGGTATTTCCGTAGATCCGACACATGATACTTACCAACGACTTCACCAGTCTTCTGCGAAGTTAGAAGGTAGGTAGTTGGACTCACCTGTTTGGAGATCACATACGAACCATCCTGCTTCGGGATGAATTTAGAAGTAACCCCCTTAGCAGCATTACTCAGGATATGTGACTTCATGAGTCCGAGATCACCTTATTTTTATTTTATATTTTATTTTATAGGATAAGGGTGACAAACGAGCACACAGTCCACCTGATGATAAGTGGTTGCTGTGGCCCATAGACATCTACATCTATCTTCGATTAAGAATCAAAATGCAGATGCGTTGTCACCCGTGAGGACTAAGATGGAATGCCTCGTTTCCAGTAAAAAGGGTCTCCGGTTCTCTACACTCACCATACGAAACACAGCAGCGTTAAGCTGCTATTTTACGCTGGTATTCTGTGAGAGCGTGGTCCTTCCCCGGCCGAGCCGACCCATTCGTGCTACAACCATAATATAGATGCAGCATGGCAGCATGCAGCATTGTAATGGATCCGAATCACGGCGATCGGAATCGGCTTGGAGCTTACGAAGATCCTGTTGATGTTCAATGTTCTCCTTAGCTTCCGAGAGAGAGTCAGCAAGCTTCAAAAGGTAAGGCGTAATCTGAGGGACTAAGTTTTCAGACTCGATGACCGCCCGTAGATCAGCCTGAACCGACAAAGGAGAACGGAGCTCACGTCCAAATGTCAAGAAAGCCGGAGTGGTACCTGTAGAAACGGTGACTGAGCTATTAAATGCAAATCGGACGAAAGGCAATCCCTCAAACCATTGCTTATGGTTACCCTCAACGAGAATGGCGAGGTGAGCTTTAAGGTCCCGATTCTTCCGCTCTACCGGATTCGCTTCTGGGTGATACAAAGGCACCAGGTTTTGTTCCACACCTAGTACAAACAGGGCCTTCTGCATAACATCAGCCACACACTGGACACCGTTATCGGAGATCATCCGCCTAGGAAGTCCATACCTCATAAAGATTTCACTAACAAGAGTTTTCGCACAGGTTTCAGCTGTGGCCTCGGTTAGAGCAAACAGTTCGACCCACTTACTAGCAGTGTCCTCCACTATCAAAATCCACCTTTCACCCTGAGGCCCTTTGGGTAACGGTCCAAAGAGATCGACGGCAATGACCTCGAATCGTTGAGCCGGTACCGGAGTCTGGAGTAAGCCAGGTGGTTTCAAGTTGGAAGACTTATATCGCTGACACTCAGTCCAGGTCTTCAGGTAATCGGTGATATAGCGTCTCATACCAGGGAAATATAACTGCTGAGATATACGATGCAAAGTCCGTTGAATACCTCCATGAGCGGCGGTTGGCGAGTCATGACACTCAAACATAACTTTGCCCCGCAAACTCTCAGGTACTACCAGCTGAGGCTCCTCAGTATCGGTGTCGTCCACGTACCGGTACAAAACACCTTGGTTTACCAAGTACCCCCTCTCCGACCACCGATGAACTGACAGCTCATCAGAACTTTCCAAGTCCTTAAGTATTTTGGCTACTTCTGGATCAGCCAGCTGGGCTTCACGGGTCGAATTAGCGTCCTAACGTGGATCATCCACAGACACGGGGCAGACACCACATTCCGTCAAAGTGCCATTGATGACTGGACGGCTGAGTGTGTCGGCTAGCACATTAGCCTTCCCAGGAGTGTATTCCATTTGAAGACCAAAGGACTGTAACTCTAAAGCCCAATGAACAAGCCTACCACTAGGCGATTTGACAGAAAACAGGTGAACCTGGTGACCATCAATATACCCACGGAATCTTTCCACGGCCCAAACAACTGCTAACGCCTCCCGCTCCGTAGTGGTATAATTTTTCTCGGCTGATGTGAGGAGACGGCTCGCGTACTCGATTGGGTGTTCATCCTGTGGAGACTCCCCCTGGAGTAAAGCTGCACCTAGGGCAAAATCGCTGGCGTCCGTCTGGCTGAACAAGAATGGGTGCAAAAACGTCAGAATACTCACCTAAAAGATTCGCCAGTCTAGGCCTCTCCGACTCCGATAGCGCGGTGGCCTCGTCCTCTCGCAACACGTTCAATGCGGCGGCGCACTCAACAAGTTCGCGACGAGTTTCCCATGACAAGGCGTGAAATGTTCGGGGCTGATCAACTGTACGCCAATTCCATTTATCAGAATCAATAATTATTCTAGCCTTTGTTATAAAGTCAATACCTAACAAAGTATCGTTATTAACGGCATTCGGTAAAATAATGAACTCGATAGGTATACTTAATGAAGCAAGTTGAACATTGACCTCCGTGAGTAGCACCTCCGCAAGCTTTACCGACATCAGTTCGGTACGAAAGTTTAAACCGATATGTTTCATTAACGCATAAAGTGAACAACTGGCAACACTACGACGCGCGGCGGTATCTAACAACGCGGTACCCGAGTATCCCCCTATACTCACTCGTACGATAGGCCGACCTTGCCCCTTACAATCGGATTTCGAATTCGAGATGCAATTATTAACAAAGATGGACTAAAATACATTTTCAACCTTAATGTTATCATTAGAAGGTATACTTTGTAAGCATTTAGGGCAATTTACTCTAATATGACCTTTCTCGCCACAATTATAACAAACAATACCTGAGTTAGAAGAATGAGATCTTTTATTTAACTTATCACAGGAGTCATGGGTGTGTCCTCGCGTTTTGCAGTAAACACAGAATAGCTTTCTCTCACCATCACTATTTTTGCTCACATACTGATCACTACGCGGCACAGGCACACGGTCACGTGATGACTGCGAAGCGGAGTCGGGGGCGCGCAGTTGCGGCGCCGTCGAACTCGAACCCGAAGTACTATGTTGAAGTCCCTCGCCATGCCTGCGGCTAGGTCTCGCGGGCACACTCAGTGGCGACGCCAGCGGTTGTGGCAGCGCGAATGGCGGCGCGGGAGGCGGCAGCGCAGCGTTCTCCGTCAGCGACTCTTCTATAGCTCGAGATCTTTCAATGAGAGATTCGATGTCATTCACAGTATCTCTCGATAATCTTTTTCTGATTCTCTTATGTAGAAGCCCGTAAATCATATCTAATCTCGCTTCCTCTGGCAACTCATAGGGTAGTTTCACTAACAAAGCCCTTATCATTACGACGAAAATATCGGCCCGCTCCGATCCCTGCTCGGCGGAAACGTCTCGGTACAACTTATATGCAGGTCTTGGAACTCCGTACATCGAGCGCAGGCGTTTCACAGCATCCGACCACGAGTGTACTTCGTTTCGAATTCCACGCCACCACACTGCTGCGTTTCCTTGAAGTAACATAGGGAGACCGCGAAGTGCCATCCCATCACTAATTGATGCACAATCCTTATACATTTCCACCGCGTCAATGAATGCTTCCACTGCTTCCGGGTGTTGAGACGAACCGTCGAACCGTGCAGCGCATTTTACTAATGTCCCTGGGATAGATGACGACCGCGGTGACGTGATAGTGGCCGCGCCGGCAGCGCTAGGCTCGACATTCGGCGGCGCTTCTAAGTGCGATGTCAGGAGAGACTGGACGAGCTTCTGGTTTGCCTCGGCTTGTGCCGCAGAGAAGCCGACCAGAAGCGACGAAAGCTTGTTCTCGGACATAAGCACAGGTGCTGCAGGTGTCGGGTTTACAGGTGCCACAGGTGTCGGATTCACCGGCTCCTCTTCCGAACTGGAGTCATTATTACGCGGTTTTCGCGGCGGCGTTATGACTGAGTCCTTGTAGTTAGCGTCTCAATATCAAGGCTATACACTAGGCATACACTCGCGTACGTACTTGTGCACTAGAAACTTCGAGAGCCACGGTAGGTTCGTTCGTGGCCCCACGTTGGGCGCCAATATAACGTTCACTGGTCACGCATGATAAATGAAACGTTACAAATAATCCGAATGCACAGTTTATTCACTTCAGTAGTAACATTATAGGCATCTATTGACACGTAAGTACATAACAGCGTCTCGCGAAATGCAGCGCGAGCTCGGGAACAATCAATAATAATACATATGTACAGCTCGGAGCTAGTCGGCTAGCCTACTGCTTATAGCGGCAGTCAAAAGTTCGGACGAGTGGCGTGATCCGGTGGCGCAGGCGGGGTATCGTACGAGAGGGGATAGTGAGACATCGGGTGACATAGGTAAGTATCGGCGCGCTACAAAACATTATTTAATTATAACTAGCAATCCTCCCCGGCTTTTCCTGGTCGTTTATCCAACGACGTTAAACAAGATTTAATCGATCTGGTGCTGCGACCGCCAATCCCCGTACCAATGGAGTATTAATGGCTAATGACGGTGACGACAACGATGAAAACTTTAATTCCCATATTTTCCAGATTCCAATAGACAGTAGTCTGGGCGAAGTGACGGTATCGGTGTCGGGCGCTAAACCCAAAATTAAGGTGGTGAATCCCAGCGGCAAGGAGCTGGTGGGACCGCCAAAGCTGATCACCACTTTGGACTTGTCGGAGATCATGGTATTTCACTTGAATAATGATATACTAAATGTCTAAATTTCATATTACATTTTGCAAGTATATGTTTATCTTTTTTACCTTTTAAAATGTTATTATTACAGACAAAAATTGCACGAAGACAAAGATTCAGATTCGGCATAATTATTTGTATGTTATATCAAACACTTGTTCCGTACAGGATTCGCTCCCGCGGCCTTGTAGCGCAGCAATCAAACATTTAACCACGATGATATCGAGCCGAAGTATGATATATGCGGTAAAAACTACTCAGGTTTTTACCGCATATATCACACTTCTGACATAGCCCAACGGTTAAGTATGCTGAAGTGGTAATAGACCGACCACATAGCTCGAAGAACCGACATCCGATGGGAAAAAAGCTCTTGAGTGATAGCCTCTCAAGCAGCATGCAAGCTGTATACCAGTTGTATTGAAGTTCGTTTTTATACCAGACGCTGTATTTTCTGGCTGTATAAAAGCTGTATAAGCGCTTATACCGTTCTTATAAGTAAAAAATTTACACAAATTATGCAGCTTTATGCGTTAATAGCGCTGTACAGTAGCTGCACAAGCATAAAAGTGGCTGTATAACTGCTGTATTACAGCTGTTATTTGGTGTGCAAGGAAACTATTACACTACAGATATTGTCTTGATAAGTCACTAATAAGTAACTTATAAAGACAAACGTGGTATATTAGAAAATTTCTCTATTATTATTATTGATATTTTTATTACTTACGTATAATAGATGAAAATCTTGTCTTGGAAATCGTGTTCGATAAATTTAATTTAGATTTAACATGGTCTTTTTACTGCACCAAATCTTTTTCTTTTTTGCCACAAAATGATAAAAAATTAATTTTTATCACTAGCACAATATAAACACGCAGCGCATGCAAAAAGGCGAAATTCTGTCACTTATACAGATTTAAGTTGTACTATGTCTGTTATTTCTTTTTTTTTAGTTTTACATCACTTTCACCACCACCATAAGAATAAGTTTTAAAAGAGAGTTTGCATACACCATTGACCAGAAATAAGATTATAGTGATACTATAATAATACTTAGAGTTGTATAAGCAAGGGACAGCATGCAAAAAACAGCTTCTATACAGCTTTAATGATAAAATCAGATTGAAGTGTTACAAAATACTTAAAGTTGTATACTAGAGATTTCATATTCTGATTAAGAACCCTAAGCTTACTTAGATCGCATAATACAGACTTTATACAGCTTGAGCTGTATAATAACTCATAAACCACTCTTATAAGGATATAACCTCTTTTCAACACTCTTATACGTATTTAAAAGAAGTCTATGTTCAATGAGGTTGATCCCACAAATAGCACTTATAACGAGACAATTGCTTCCAGATTGTGAAAGTCCTGGAACCAGAGCCCGGGAACTGGACGATCACTGTGGGCAGCGAGAAGGACTACTCGGTGAAAGTGTCGGGTCTCTCAAACCTTACCTTTAATCACGGCTTTTCCGTGGAGAAGCCCAAATCATTGGAGGAGACCAGTTACAGGCCTTTGCAAGGTGGATGAACAAACCCATGATTTAGTCACATCATCCTATCACATAATCTCAATTACGAAATAGTGTAATCTTTGATATTCGGTATTTGCACAGTTGCAATCATTTTTTTTATAGGATAGGGTGACAAACGAGCAGACAGTCACAGGTATTCTGTGAGTCTATAATATTCTGTGACTTTGACAAACTTTCGGAAAGAAATGGTAGAATGGAGTGTAGAGAACTGGGATTTCTTTTTCTAGTAAAAAGAATCCCCAGTTCTCTACACTCATAATATATAGTGAGCATTCCATCTTAGTCCTCAGGGGTAACAACACAGCTGATTTTGATTTCCAGACGAGGATAGATGCAGATGTCTATGGGCCACAGCATTCACTTACTATCAGGTGGATTGAGTGCTCGTTTGTCATCCTTCTTCTATAAAAAGAAGAATAAGAACTTAAAACTGCTGTAATTCCTCGGAAGATCCCATACTCAGCACGCTCGACAAGCGGGTTAGTGAGTGGAGAACCTATATCCTCACCACTGGAAATGCTGCTCTCAATCATCAATCAATCTTAAAATATCATCTTAGTGTATGGTAGACCCGAGAATGTTATGTTCGGTTAAAAGTCTGCATGCGGCGGTGTCGTGTACGGGCTTTAAAAATCGTCCAGGTGGACGATGGCTGACACCAGCGTCATACTTGACACTGCCGCGTTGGCCTAGTGGTCATAAGTGCGACTGCCATTCAAGAGGACCCGCGTTCGAATCCCAAGTTGGACCAAAATCGATTATTGGGTTTTTCTGTCAATAAATTCTGAGTAGGAGTCCGGAGGCAGGAAGTTGGCGGTGTTTCATGCCCACGCCTTTGAAAGCATTAAAGCCGTCAGTCCTGTGTCTGATCTCTCTTTTATCGTGTCGGATTGTGAGAGTGAGAGAGTAGAAAGTGCATTTGTGCTTACGCATACACTCGTTATCTATCCTGTCTTGCACAGATGGTTTGTTTCACTGACAGGACACACTGTCCCAAGTCTGTCTGTAGGATATTATTATTATTACTTGTGAAACAAATATACATTGAAATCAATTGAAGAATTAGCACCCGTTGTGCTAATTTTTCGGCAAAGCCGTTGAACGCTATTTCTATGTATATTCTCCCTTTTAACATTTGTGTTTTTTACATTGAGCGTTTTACATCTAGGCTACAACAACTCTGTACATGTCATGTAAATACAAATGATTTTTCGCCAGGCACCTACAACCACATGCTACTATCGCTGACACTGACAGACGTGTCGATCCTGATCGACTATGCGGAGATACTCACAACGGATGGGAAGACGATGTTCGAGGTACCCGTGAGAGAAATTGACAGCGGCAAAAAGTTGTTTCTGGCAAATGCTTTCGTTCCGCCAGATGACTTCTTCTATATTGCTGTGAGTTTTTTTTTTAAACTGGTGTTGTTACGTTTTAAATGTGATTTTATAAATGGCGATTGGGAGCAGCGTGAAATTCTCAAAATAAATTATAATAATGCGACTTCCAATCGTGATGATCGTGGCAAATCTTCCATGCAACGGGAAGGAAGCACACTCAGCAATGCACTTTATGGACTTGTGAAGAAAATATACTCAACTGTAATTTTAGCTAACCTCGGACAAGAACGTTTTATCATTGTTATTTGATTGGATTGTGGCTGATTTCAACCGTGTAGTAGCAATGTAAGAATGTTCATTACCCCATATCATCCCGTGGGATGATATGGGGCAATGAACATTAAGAGGTGATAGAGTTAAACAAACCAGGAGATGGGCAGCGCCTTCCTAACAACTAGAAAATAAAAACTACGGTTGCCAACCCTCCTGCCAATTGTGGCAACTATGGGAAATATTCCCCTTATGAGGCAATCTACGGAGAAGCCCATGTTCAGTGGACTTTTACAATTTGTGATGGATGTCTAACTTGGAAATATCACTTTCATATATTTAGATCAACGGTCGCGATCAGTACGGACAGGAGTTAAGAAGGATTGGCGCAACAGCAGTCCAGGCAAAACCACCAGGTAATGCTAATAAGTTTTTCTAAATATAAATGTCCTTCACTGCTTGCCGTATGAGGAAGCTCAAGGTCGCTCAGCGAGCTATGGAGGGGGCTATGCTCGGAGTTTCTCTCCGTGATAAACTTAGAAATGAGGATATCCGCAGTAGAACCAGAGTGACCGACACAGACCAACGGATTAGTAGGCTGAAGTGGCAACGGGCCGGCCATATAGCTCGAAGAACCGAAAACCGATGGGGAAGGAAGGTTCTCGAGTGGCAGTTTCGTACCGGTAGGTGAAGTGTAGGGCGATCCCCCACTAGATGAAGTGACGACCTGGTAAGACATGCAGGAAGATTTCTCGTAAACGAGTGAGCGTATCCCGACTCCTTTCTCTTCATTATTATTTGTAAAAATCGGTGAGTATACAAGTACTGAATTACAAAACAGTTCTTTTGGAATCCCACAGGGCAGTTTCCTGGGGCCTACATTGTTCCTAATTTATATAAATGACTTATGCAATCTTCAACTTCAAAATGGTGTCATAATGTCTTATGCGGATGACACAGCCCTGTTATTCTCAGCTAAATCACGAGATGAGGTTTATAAATACGCTCAGCAAGGCTTTAATAAAGTATCCAATTGGCTTATAAATAATCTCCTAAGTTTAAACGCAGATAAAACACAATATATGTTATTTTTAATGAGAAATAATAACATACCTGCTGACCTTAATATTTACGCTCATCATTGTAACTCGTATGACGACATTGCATGTGCATGTCCCGCTTTAACAAAAACAGACAATATAAAATATCTAGGTATCACGTTTGACACAAATTTAAATTTCCGCAAGCACATCGATTTACTTTGTGCTAGAGTTCGTAAATTAATATATATTTTTAAATATCTTCGTAACATCGCTGACTTCAAATTGATAAGACAGGTTTATTTAGCTTTGTGTCAATCCATACTCACTTATGGCATTACTTCCTGGGGTGGTGCTTCTAAAACAATATTGCTCCCACTAGAACGTGCTCAGAGAGCAGTTCTAAAGGTAGCCACTTTCCGTCCATTCATGTTTCCTACACATCAACTGTACTTGGCATGTAGTGTACTAACTGTCCGTCAGTTGTTTATCCTGAAAATCATATTAAAACAACATACCGAACTTCCATTTAACTTAAAATCCATAGACAGGAGAAGAATGGACTTAGTTTGTGTAAACCCTCAAACCAAACACGCATTTGTGAACAAATTTTACATATTTTTAGGACCCTTTCTATATAACAAGCTCAACAAGTCACTAAAGGTATATAGTCTAAGTTATAAGGACTGTAATATAAGTGTAAGGGAATTTCTAAATAAATTAAATTACGAAGACACAGAGAAGTTGTTAGATATACTAAAATAGTTTGTATTAATTGTAGGCAATAAATAATTGTTATTTAGTTATTTTATTTATTATACAATTTAGTTTAATTATTTAAATATCTAGTGTCCTACATTATTAAACCGTTTGTATAAGTGATGTCTGAAACACAGGTACTCAACCTAGTTCAGGCAGGTAGCTAATATTATAAATATGAATTTTCTATCTTCTTTTGTAGATTCTACATTATTTAGCTACACATAGTTTTAATTTTATCATAGCATGTTATTTTTGTTAGACTTATTGTTACTTTATTAATTGTAATCATTCTGATTCCTGTATGTCAACATGTGTAATTCGAAATGAAATAAATATTTATTATTATTATTATACGGACTTTTGGACCTCCCCTCGTATGGATGTCGTATTAAGACGGCCTTTCATTCAGTGTAGTAGTGACGTTGATGATTTTGGCAGTTCATGGTTGTTCATGGGGACATATTCGGTAGTAAATTTGCAATGGTATGTAATAATGATGATTGCTGATGCATTATCGGTTATAATCTTATTACAAAACGTTGTTTGCTGGTAGCCTAAAGTTTGAACTATCAGAAACCTTTTAAAATTTCCTAAACCATATTTTAACCCCGAGAATATCAATGAACCACATTTTGCAATAAAACCGTTTATGTGTAATGCTCGAAAGTCTGCTAAATGGCCAGTTTATTAGGTCTACGAGGCCTTGGTGCCGGCTGCAAAATCGAGGTGCGGCTAAAGATTATTCAAATCTATTATGTCTTCGATATTTATATAAAATACAAATTATAAATCATTTTAGATTCTTGGCGCAATCTCCTATTTTAAAGATGATTTTGGAGTGAAATTGTCTTGTCAGGTTGTATAAGAGCTAAATGACGAAGCTGCTTCTTTTAGAAATTGATATTTTCATCGACAAAATAACTTCGTGTTGTGTTCACTTGGTTCACATGCATTTAATCGTATCACTTTTATGTACTAAAATCTACTCCAGGAACTTGCGGACAAGTTCCCGACCCTTTGTAAAAATGTTTTTACATAAACAAAAAAAAATACACGGAAATTTTATTTTCAGATGCTCCATATTTGACTGCTCCAAAAAAGGTATGTGGTAAAAGTATAGCTAAATTTAAAAAAAAAAACAAATCATTAGAATTTGCAAATTAACGAATAGTTGGACCAATTCTTTAGAATTTTAATAAAGCCTTCCCTTCTTTAAAAGTTTAAAAACAGATTACTTCTTACTTCGACAATGTTGATTACACTTAAAAATTTCGTCAGCGATATTCGTTATTTCTACTTTAAAATATACTGTAAAATATTCATAAAGATATATATGCACTTATATTCATCAAATTCAAATCCGTTTGCGATATGTGTAAAGTTTATCTAATAATGTTATAAAAATACTATAGATACAAGCCCGCGCCCACGAGAGGGTGGTTCTCAAATGTTACGTGGAGAGCCTCGTGCCTGTTACTGCCAAGTGGACTAAGGATTCTTCTCGTCTGCAGCGACAGACCACCAGTCTGTGAGTATTAAAACGAGAGGAAAATACTAAGTAATTTATAATTTTCACGTAGACTAAATAATGGGTGTGATAACAATAGTAATACAAAGGTTTGATAAAATCATTGTATTTTAATATTTTATATAATATAGAGCTATTCTATATATACTGCTTTACTTCGGAACTTTGATAGCGCGATTTAGGATTGGATGTGTTTCGCTTGTGGCGCGACGACAGCGCCGTCACAAACTATTAAGAGCTAACTTGACCAATTTCAGACAAAGCACGTCCATAGAATATGTAATAGAAGACATGAGAGAGGGCTACGTCGGGATGTACCATTGTTCGGCTGATAACGTAGCGGGACATAGCAAGACCACTACCGAAGTCAGTCTTATAGGTAAGAATATTTGATATAGGCAGAAATTTTATCTTGAGTAGAGAAAGGACAAAACTCACTGGGGGCTAGATTTTTCTTTATCAAATAAAGGTGCAATTCCATAAAAAAAGTTCCGTAGCCGATCGCAGACAGCAACATGCGACACGTGTCGTCGCGACACAACTGTCGTGACGTGTCGCCATGATATGTCGCAGCGATATGTCGTGGCGACACACAAACAGCTACGGAATTGTACCTTAAGGGTGACAAACGAGCACATAGTCCATCCGACGGTAAGTGGATACTGTGGCCCATTGACATCTACATCTATCTTCGATTAAGAATCAAAATGTAGATGTTTTTCCTAAATCTTACTCACCATGCTCTTCGTAAATATTCGTTGAATGTTACATGAGACCCCTGTGACCTCAGATAATGTCCAATGGCCACTCGGCGATCTGCCAACATCACAATATAGTTTTTTTTAGGGTTCCGTATCTAAAGGGTAACCAATAGACCCTATGGAGGCTTAGTACTCCACTGTCCGTCCGTCTGTTAGTCAGCGGGCTGTATTAAATCTTTTACGATGGTACGGAACACTTCATGCGCGAGTCTGTCTCGCACTTGGCTGGTTTTATTAATTTATTCTGTGAAGGCGTTCCCTTCACGACATTCGTTTTTGATGGATGTCCTCTGCCCAGTGTAAACTCCACGGATACCAGCGTGTGGCTGTGGAATATTAAAGAGCAGAGTTCCCCAGTATTTCCTCAAAGCCAACATGTATATCTTTAGCAGACATTTTATTCAATCAGAGTTACTTAATCATGGCGCTTACATTTTTTCTTTATTTTCATGTTCTCGTTTTTCTCCGTCTGCATGCTACACGATTTCTACGACGAACGATGACTCTTGAAAAAATAAAACTTTTTTTTTAGTGGACCCACCCCAGGTGACCGTCTTGCCAGTGAACGCGTCCCTGTCTGTGGGCGAGGACTTGACTATATCTTGTTCGGTATTCAGCGAGGCGCTTCTAATAAAATGCCAGATTGTTTTCACTGTCAACGACACTGTCAACGGTAAGTTTTTTATCAGGAATATGTAGCTGCCCTTCTCATGTTTCAGTTTCCCTCTGTCGCCTATGACGACACGTTCGGGGTGATATGAGACAATGAATTCTCCTACGTCGCCACTACACGGCGACTTTCACATAATATTATGAGTGCTTATATAATATATTTAACGCGAATATCTAATATATACAATTCTCGTGTCGCGGTGTTTGTTACCTCCTCCGAAACGGCTGAACCGATTTGTATGAAATTTTGTGTGCATATCGGGTAGGTCTGAGAATCGACCAACGTCTATTTTTCAAACCTCTAAATTATAAGGGTGACCCAAACCTAAACATTTTTTTTATTTTTTGACAACATTTTTATTTTAATTTTATTATGATTAAGCATTGAAAAATACGTTAAACTTCAAATTTTCACCCGTCTACGTTTAACCCCTGTTTTTTACTCGCAATTTTTAAAACTAAAAAATATTTCCTAGAAATAATGTATATGGCAAAACAACGTTTGCCCGGTCAGCTAGTTCATTTATAAAATTATTTTACGAATTCTAGATATTGCTTAACTTTTCTGAGGCGAAAGTTGAATGCATTTTTTTAAAATAATCTTTTTTTTATAAGAAGATTGAAACTTTAAATATTATTTCCTTACTTTTGTCTGTTATTATATTTGCCATATGACATAGCGTGATTTTAATCCAGGGCCCAAATGCATGTGATATTAAAAGTTTAAAAGTAAATCAACAGCCTACATGCATCTTACTAATAAGCATGGGCATTTTCTTATTCTTGAAAGGGTTTTGGTTTTTTTTTATGGGATAAGGGTGACAAACGAGCACACAGTCCACCTGATGGTAAGTGGTTGCTGCGGCCCATAGACATCTACATCTATCCTCGTTTGCGAATCAAAATGCAGATGCGTTGCCACCCGTGAGGACTAAGATGGAATGCCTCATTTCCAGTAAAAAGGACCTCCGGCCACCTGCACTCACCAAGCGAAACGCAGAGGTAAACCTCTACTTCACGCTGGTATTCTGTGAGGTCGTGGTACCACCCCGGTTCGAGCCGGCCCATGCGTGCGACAGCAACAGCTGCCGCGTGGCTCTACCACTGTTAAAACTGTTGGTCTGCCGGGCTGCCCAGGGCAGCCTGCCCTAATGCGTGTTGGCGGGCTGCACATTTCAAATTGTATTAAATTCTTCAGACACTAAAGTTTTATCGCGATATTTTTGTCGTCGCCGCACAGCTCGTCGTAAACCAACTCTTAAAATTAGGTTGGTGTAGGCGAAGATATCGGTCTTGCAAGTAACTTTCTCGAATAGCACGGCTTCCAAACAATTTATTTTATTGGTTAATTTAAATATTAATTAATAGCTTAATACTTAACGAAACATTATTTATTGTTCCTGGTTATAGTGATTAGGGGGAGGGGAGGGCAGGATGAGATGTACTACAACATCCTGCGCATCTATTCGCTTACTGTGTCGACATCAAAATTACAATTCACTTTGTAGTACATTGCGTCGTATGCTAAGCTCTTTTATAAGAGCAGAAATGTTATGAAATATCCGACGCAATGTACTATAAAGTGACTTACATTTAAATATCAACAAAATTAGCGAATAGGCCTGCTGATGTGCTACAGATCACTTAGAACTTGCGGTAATAAAGTTAAGACTAAGGACGGTCCACCACTGTGCGTTTTACTAAGAGTTTTCTTCCTTGATCCACTTCTTTATGGAATCGTTTGCCACCGGCGATTTTTTCGGACCGATACGACTAAGGGAACGAGAAGGAGGGAGTCAAGAAATGAGGTAACTCTTAAAAATGTCCGGCAACGCATTTCCGATTCCCCTGGTGTTGCAGATGTTCACAGTCTGGCGGCGGTCGTCTCTGTCCACTTCTAATCTTTTTTCCTCCCATTCTTTAACATGATAAAATCTATAATACTTGTTTTTACCTTCGTTTTTTTCAGTGACAAACTTTCACGTGCACCCTACCATGGACGGCTTCTATACATATAACAAGACGATTCCTAATGTGAGCGAAAAGGATCGAGGTGTTTACACTTGCATCGCTGCGAACAGAGGTATGTTTATGTCACAGAGTACTTTTATATATATGAATACGATGTTTATGTTGTACTGAAATAGGTGGAGGGGGGTATTACCTATTTAGATGTAATTCGCAGAGAAAGAGCCCTGCCACCTAGCAAATTAATTGTACAGTAGAACTTCGTACAAGAAACGCTTTTCGTGCAGTAAAATTAGTTAAATATATTTACTTGTTAATTTTCAACACTTCAATTCAGTACAAAAATATCAACCCACACACATGATACACTAAATTGTCCTCGTTGCCATGTAAATGATAAAGTCGGGGTGCAGATGTTGACGAACGGAGCCACGTTAAATACACTCATATTTATATACTAACTATTTTATTAACTATTCCAGCTGGAATTTAAAACTAAAATCTTCAACTCAGAAGGAAAGCTAGCTAAGACATAAAGACACAGTTAAAGGTTTTTTTTCTTAGACAGTAAATTGGTAAAAAGTAATGTGACAGGCGACTTAACAAAAACCGGATGTCAGTGGATGTCAGCTTTGAGAAAAAAATTGGCACAGCTTCTAATTATACTGTAATAAATATAAAACTGTCTAAAATTGATAACAATAACGTGTTATAGAAATATACAACACATATATTTTATAGCTTTAACAACTTAATTACTAATACTGAAATAACTAACTTTCCTATTTTGAAATGCTAATAAATAATTGCATATATTCAGGTGGTCAAACAAATCAAGCGACATACATAAACATCGAAAGTGAACCACTTGCCCAAATAATCGGCCCGCACACATTAATTAGGCAAATGCACACAGACGTGCAGCTTGTGTGCCACGTGGACAACGCGAATTTGGTACAATGGGTGGCACCCAATGGCACAGTGGTTGAAGAACACGCAGTCAATGGCAGTCACAATGCGATGCTCAATGTCTACAATGTTACCGAGGAAGGGACTTGGAGTTGTGTCGGATTGAGGAATACTCACAGAGGTAGGCGTTTTGTAGACCTGATAAAACTTTGCCTTCTTTTTAATTACTACCCACTTAGGTGTATCGTGTCATAGAAGAGGTCATGTTGGTCATGAATATTTTTGTATTCTGTTCAATTTTAATTTCTGTAAGTGTTGAAGTCACATTATTCTTATTATTTAATTATGTATGTCGATTATTTTCAGCTTCTGACGCGGTTCTGTTAAACATTTCAATGAAACCAAAAGTTAGTATCGAAGGAGATAAAAACATAACCGTATTAAACGGCACAATCCAGCAAATTGTATGCACGGTGGCTGCGAAACCCCAGCCTAGAATTATTTGGCACAAAGAAACAGAGGCTTTTCTTAATAACACAGTAAGTTACCATTTTATTTAAATTTTTATTTTTTGTATTTATGTGTAAAAATTATGTTACCTTTTAGGTGTTAAAAGAGGAAAAGGAGTTTTCGTAGTCCAAATGACAAACTACGTATGATTTGCCATTAGGTCTATAAAATTTACCTTCACCTTTAACTTGGTCCATTGGTTCTCACTGGATTGTGGTGTTGAGCACTGAGTTGACTAGTGTGGAATTTATAAAATAGCCATTTGTCGGTCACCAGAATATCTTTCTTTTTCACGAGGTAGGGTAACGCTGCAGCCGTATAATGCTTGCAGCATGAATATATAATATTAAAAATATACATTTTCATTCTTAGTCGAGGATAAATGTAGCTGTAGTCTATGAACCACAGCATCTATCTATCCAATGAACTATTTGCTTGTTTTTCTTCTTTATCATATAAAAAGGAACCGTGTGGTAACTGCCTAAGAGAATTCATCACTTGTTTCTTCCCATGGTTCCGTGAGTGTCGTGAGAGGGGACTATGGGAATATGTCAGAAGCATCTCATGTCTTTCGGTAGTTGGCGGTATAGCCATCCAGTTTTTGCCAAATGTGACGAATAGTGATCAGGAAAAATCATCCCTCCAACGAGGAAGGCAGCATGGATTTCTAAGGACTGATGATGAGCAAATTGTTGTTAATGAATGATATCATTCGTTAGATGCAACCACAAAGCAAATACAAAGAGGAGGTGTTGTAATTAGATTTGAATGCAAAACAAATTTCAACACTTTCATGTGATTACGAGGGGTACACTTAAATGATCGGGAATAAGAAAAACCACATGAACGGTATAGTTAAATCTCCGTTCAACTTAATGCACTTTCCATTTGTGCAAACCAATCATTAAAACAGTAATTCCAGTCTGAAGTTGATGTTGACAAAATGGCTGATTTGTACGCTTCCACAGCTGCTTCGGGGTCTTCAAACCGTTGAACGCGTGATAAATCTTTCATTCTAGGGAATGTAAAGAAATCGTTGGGCTCAGGTCAGGACTGTACGAAGGATGGCTCATCAGCTCAATGTTTTCCTGCTTCAAAAAATCACTTGTCTTCCGAGCCGTATGGGAGCTCGCATTATCGTGATGTAAGATGATGCGACGTTTCGGGTGATTTTTTCGGATTTCTGGCAAACAAACCGTGATATATCACTCAGCGGTAACGGTTCTGCGTTCCTGTAAAGGAATTGTAGCAACATGCCCCTCTTTCGAGACAAACGTAGCGACCATTTTCTTTGACACGCTGCGGGAGCGAACCACTTTCGTTGGTTTGACCTCGTCTTCGAAGACCCAAACTGCTGACTGATGTTTTATTTCAGGTTCGTATGAATAAATCCATGATTCGTCACCTGAGACGATATTACAAACGACATTTGACTTCCCTCCGTTGAAGCGTTGCAGAGTATTCCGGCACCAACCTACACGAGCCGCCTTTTGCTCTTTAGACAAATTGTGGGGAACCCAGCGGGAAACTAGCTTTCTTACACACAGCTCATTCCGATACTGATAACAGCTCGAATCTGCTCGTATATCACATGATGGTCATCTAATATAATTAACAGTTCGCACAGCTGCGATGTTTTCAGGCGCGATCACTGTTCTTGGTCGATCTGCAGAAGAAACAGTGCTGAGCGACACACAACTGCGTCGGCAGAACTCGGCATACCAGCGGTATATTGTCGTTTGACTCGGTGCTTCAACATCATAAATCGAAACAAGTTCGCCGAGACATTTATTTTGAGATAAGCCGCGACGAAAATTGTGATAAATTATGGCACGGAAATGTTCACGCATGAACTCCATTTCTGTTAACGACGTGTCAACTTTAAACCAACATAGTTTTTGTTTTTAAACATTTTTTTAATTGTTTGAATGTCATTAAGATTCTAAGAGGCCAGTATTCAAATTCAAAAAAGGTTTTATTGTAACTCAATCCGAAATATTCTATTCCCGATCATTTCAGTGTGCCCCTCGTATTTTACCAATACTGAGCTCTACGTACTTTTATATTTTTAATTCCCATGGCACAAAGTGTCGAATATATTTAATTACGCCGACGCAGAGATTTTTCTAGAACCTTTTTAATAAATTGGGAATAAAATTACTTACAAATGAAATGTGATGCCATCCATAGCATCAGAGCGTTTATCTGAGTAGTTTTTTACACGATAAAACAAAACACTTCATCCTTTTCTTAGCAAAATACACCGATTTGGGATTTTCGACACATAAGCACACAGGACGAAGGCTGACAGTATACTAAGTAAAGCCACACTCACTGTGATGACGTCAGGACCTAGTTAGAATCACGGTGCGCAGTTGTTTATGGCATCTCCTCTTTGTATTTGCTTCCTGGTTACAACGGCGTATCGTGTGCAGTGAACATGGTGTTTGTAAAATAATTTCTTTCACCACCATTTCAATTTCATTTGAAAAAAAAATAATTTTTTTCCTTTTTCCATTAGATAATCCAATTAGAGCCAACGCTCTATAGGAGTGTGCTGACACTATATAGTGATAAAGAAGAAGTTAACGGAACTTATTTCTGTTTCGGAGAGAACTCTGCTGGCATCGATCAGGATAGTGTCACTGTCAATGTAAGGCGGAAGATGGTACTACTAGAGAGCTTCACAGGTAATATTGATTAAATAGTATCAGAATATTTTTAGGTATAACGTTGCTTTATAACGGTAAAGGGCTTTCATATGCTGTTTGATGGATTTTTGGGCTAGACAATCACGAGTCAATATTCATGTTAGTTGTCATATATGTAAAGCAGTAACATAGAATATTTTTCCATCAACTCACCAACCTGTTCTAGACATAGAAACAGAAACAGAAACTTTTTTGTTCAATATACATTATAAATAATACTTATTGAAAGTCACTCTTTTGTTTAATTACCACTGGTTCGAAAATAAACCTCTGTCCTGGGAAGAACCAGCAAGAAACCCAGCGGGGCTTTTTTTTAAATAACAACTTACAATCATGATGTTACATAAATTAACAATAGAATAAATTAGAAATAGCTTGGTAGCGATCACCTAATTTCCAGGGTTATTATCATCCATAAATTCTTTAATATTATAATAACCCTTTTTATACAAACTTAGTTTAATAAAGTTTTTCAAAATTGTCAAACTTTGTGGAATTACTGGAATTTTGTTGTAAAAGCGTATACATCGCCCCAAGAATGAATTACTGACTTGATGGAGTCGAGTAAGTGGTACTACTAGCTTGTGTTAGTTTTATATTGTGTTTACCATATCCGTCTCTCCGTCAGCGGATTTAGCTGCCGCTACATTGCAACGTGGTATTTTCAACTTTTTTTATCACTTGCTGTCAAATCTACTGTTATAGGCCTCCCCATAAATTGACTCATAAGGAGAATATTTGTCAATGTTAAAACGCTTATCAACCGGGTTGGCAACCACAGATTTTTATTTTCTCGTTATTATAAGAATGACGCTGCTGCTCATGTCCTGGTTTGTTTTCATCTAGTTAGACAATATAAAGAAGTGGATATTCTTAAACCGCCACGACACGTTTAATTCTCTAAACACAATTATTTGAAAGGTAACATTGACGCTTTGTTGAATACAAAAATATGAGATTTCTTTTATCAACATTTACAGATCAATCAGTGGAACTGTACTCGCAGCTAGATCTTCATTGTCGAGTGGATTGCCACCCGCCTGCGAAAATAACGTGGCGTCACAACGGAACAGAACTGCGAATAGACGAAAATATAAATATCTCTGAAGATGGCAACACAGTGTACTTACAAAAAGTAGACTTTGCCAACCTAGGATCTTACTCGTGTGTGATGGACAATGGCTATGAAACTATGGAAGTTAAAGGGATGCTACATGTTGCGGGGTTAGGTGAGCTTCTCTACAAAATATTTCGATTGAACAACAGTATTGAACAAAAATAGAATAGAATAGAATATTTTTTATTCAATATACATTACATGTGTAATTCTTATTGAAAGTCATTTTTTACTTTACCACTGGTTCGAAAAAAACCCTCTGTCGTGGGAAGAACCATCAAAAACCCAGCGGGACATGTTTTTTAAATAAATTTTACAATATAAATGATTACGAACTATTTACAAAATTTATTTTAGAAACTGCTTGGAAGCGAACAAATGATCAATGAAGCTTACCATATATTAGCGAGTTTTTTTTTGAACTTGACGTTATATCAGATTCTTAAAAGTTAAAAGACGAATACTCGAACACAAATAAAAAAATCAACTAATTACTATTTGAATACCAGCGTAAAAGAGAGTGTGAGAATTGGATACCCTTTTTATTGAATAAGAGGCATTCCATCTTAGTCCTCAGGGGTGACAACGCATCTGCATTTTGATTCTTAAGCGATAGATGTAGATGTATGTGGGCCTCAGCACCCACTTTCCAACAGGTGGCCAGTTTGCTCGTTTGTCACACTTATTCTACAAAAATAAGAAAAAATAAAAAATAAAAATGAATACAAATTTAAGTTTCTAGAAAAGAGTGGTGCTGCAACTTCAAATATGTTAAAGGTTAAGTAAACTAACGTATAGTGAACTTATGATTGTAATATCGTCTAACTAGTCAGGATCAGACTTCTCAAGTTTTGGCACTGCTTTCTATCCCCAGTCTAAATATTTTACGCGTAGCACATTCTTGGTGGGATTTAAGGGAAGTATTCTAAAATTTTCTCTAAATACGTACTCTACCTTTAAAATTGTGACCCTTTTGAATTACGGACGAGGCTGTGATGATCAGTGTTACGGCCTACGGCTGCTCCCTTAAAGGATCCAATCTTCAGGGGCCCATGAGCTGAAGACCTCCCGAACAGACGTAGGTCGGGCCTTAATGTGGCCACATGGAAATTCCTAATTACATTAAAACATATGGGGGAGCGTTATACTACGGCCAGTCAACCGGAAGGAATTTGGATGAAGCTTACTTACCTATCCAAGGCGACTGGTCCCTCCGGAGTCGGTCAGGTCGCATGTGGTTGTGTAGTGCAAGGAAAGAATGGTGATGTGGTGTGTAGCTGGGTGTGACTGATGGTGATTGAACCTAGACCTTGGCCGTCGGCAGCAGCCCGAGCGTCGACACCGCTCCAACTTGAGGGCGCCTTTCGAGGTTGTCCACAGTCACTTTCTTCTCTCGTCACGATGACAGTCACTTAACTCTATCGTACGATTTACTCACTTACAGAAGCCATTAACTATCACTGGGTATAATGGTTACCGCACAAACGCACACGGAGTTTAAAGGGTCAAAGGTCACTACCGTTTCGCGTAGCAATAGTTAATTCTAGAATATCAGAGGCCGCACTATCTAATATTGCCGAATGCACTTATGTAGGTTTTGAGTCAGACACAATAAGTCCCGGGAAGCTCTCCAGTAGGAATGCGCGTCACTATGATAGACCGTATATTTACTGGCCGCGCCGAATTATTCCGAGTTCTCTAACAGAATGGACCGCGTGCTCACGTCAGCACCGATTAAAGACGACTGACTGCCCTTGGGCGTTTTTCGCACGACCGAAAGTCAAACCGGTATGAATGCACCGCGCCGAGCGCCCTCTCGCGTCAATCCTTGAAAGTGTTTTGCGCGAACAAACCTCCGTCCCGGACATAAGGATTTAGGTCCGCGAGCAAACCGGTCAGCGGGACAAGGTCGCGAGGGCAAGTTGCAAGACCGAATCTACAACCAAACTAGGCCACCTTAGGCACCCCATCAGATCTTGCAACCCTAACCAGCGCCTCAAAAAATAGCCCTAATGTGGCAAGCCGGAGGATCAGCCTCCACTGGATACCCTCCTGGGCATCGCAGCACTTTAACAAGTCCTGTACTGGACAGAAGTCCGACGACCTCTTTCGAACACCTATCTGTGCCCCTATGATTAGTTCCGCAATCCAACCGGATCAGCTCTGCAAACAGTGACGCTACACGAAGCGGCCCCGAGCGGCCTCCTAAGCTTCAGTGCAGAGAGCACTTACAAATTCCACATGAACGTCGTCTGTGAAGAGCCGAACGAAACGCACAGATAGTCCCTAGTATGAATTTTCAACAAGTAGGCCTAGCCAGGCCACCCACCATATTATCATTTACTAAAATAGCGCGGCAGCTGATTTCAATCAGATAATCTCCAAAACTAGCTAGCCTGTTAGGCAAGTAGTCCTATGCTCATATTTCAACTAATTTTTCAAAAGCATCAATGTTCAGCTACAGAATTAATTTAACCAAATTAATCACCGATGCGCATAGGTCAACTTGCAAATTAAACAAAACAATAACGTAAGGGACAGCCCTACTTCTTCGCAAAGCAAAATGATTAAACACTATCATAAACATATAGATAATTTTTCAAATAGTGCGCCATTCAATTTCAAATGAATTCAAATTTTCCTTTCAGCAAACAGACGCAACAATCAAATACAGTGATTAAATATATGTACAAAACACATGCAGTAGCATATAAAGGAGTAGATTAAATTCAATTCTTTTAATTTAAACCGCTACAAATAGGAAAATTTCGCGGAAAGCCCAAAGCAATTATTAATTTTAATTAAAGTATTTTTTGACTAAGTGCTCGACCAAACCAAATCTAATACCCCTTGACAGCGTGATTCAACGCTCCAGAGGGGCCCTAATCTTCCCACCACCAAGGGGAGGCCACATGGCGTGAACCCGAGATCGCTAACAGTCGCCACTCGGGTTGTACGCCTTCACTGAGGCCGTCGGCAACAGAACATTTTGACAAGTGGACTGTTGACGGCTTAAGGCTCAGTGGAGGTGGCCGTGGTGGGAGCTAAGGCGGCAGCTAGCCAGGGCCGCCTCCATCAAATGGGAAACAGTGGTACACCAGTCGCGGCCACTCAGCTAACGGGAGTGAGAAGGGTCCAGTGGACCGATGAGTGGCCGTGAAGTTCCTCTCCACACGCTTAGAGGGGGTGATGACACCCCCGCCCCTGGGGGAATTACCCCCCGACTGGTCGGGGGAGGGACCCCTTTCAAACTTAGGGGCCTGATGGCTGGCCGACGGGCGCCGAGAGTCGCCCGGCAGAGGGCGTGGCTGAGTGCCCCCGCCCGTGGGGGTCGAGGGCCTGCCAGAGCCCCGAGAGGAGACGCCGTTCGCACTCAGGCACAAAACGGCATGATGATTGCCCTGGCAATGCAGACAGGGCAGTCGATGCGGACAGTCTCGCTGGAGGTGCCCTCCCAGACATGACCAGCACCAGCGGCGCTCCTTGGCGATAGTTCGCCTCGCTGGAACCGGCTTACCTAATAATTTCGGGCACGACGTTACCCGGTGATCAGATGCTCGACAATAGGAGCAGGGGGGGGGGGTTGACGACGACTTGCCTGGAGGATTCAGCCTCTCACTGGGCACGTCTCGTAAGTCGTCAACGGTGCCCGCCGCGCTCTCTATCTGCCGGCACTGCTCCTCCAAAAACCGCAGCAGGTCATAGAAGGGCGGAATATAGGAGGCCTGGTCCCCGCCGTACCTCTCCTCAAAATGGATTCGAAGGTCGAGAGGTAGACGGGACAGCACGATGCGGAGCAACAAAAAAGCCCATTCGCCCACTGGTAAACCCAGCCGCCTCAACGTATTACAGGCCACCAAGACTGGATCCAACAGGTCCGGACGCAGTCTGGCCCGGTCACTAAGCAGCGGGAGGCTTAGAAGCTGCTTAACATGTCCGTCCGCAATTCGCCGGACGTTGGCGTATCTTCTGGCTAGGAGGTCCCGAGCAGTCTGGTAGGCGTCGTCCGACAATCTCAAGTGGCCGACGACGCCCAGGGCCTCCCCCTCCAGTGAGGCCAGGAGGTACACCATCTTTTGGCTCGGGGTCAAGTCACTCCGGGCGTCCACTAGGCTGTCGAAAAGACCAACGAAGGTCAGCCATTCGGAAAGGACCCCGGAGAACTTTGGCAGGTCCAGAGTTGGGAGTCGTCCCAACAGCTCCGGCTGAAGCTGCTTCAGAGAGGACTCGGACAGGTCACTCATCCGAGCTTCACGCGCCTCCTCGGCATACCTGCCTTCAGCCTCGATCAACTCGTCCGTGAGCCACAAGAACTGCTCATAGTCCGCGAAGCAGAAGTCCAGGACTCCCTTCTCCACATCCGAATCCTCGAGCTCAGCGTAAGCCTCCTCCACTGTGGCCCTTCGAGCATCCACCTGCTCGAACCGCTTCAGCAAGTTATGGACCCTATCCGGTCGACCTATCAAAGCATGGGCGCTTGTGGCCCAGCGTAGCTCAGTCCGCAAACAACGGATCAGTAGCTTAGGCGATGACATCACTATTAAATACAAAGTACGACGCGGCTCGAGCACAAATTACAAAGATAACAAATAAAAAATACACCACAAAAATTAACAGTTAATAAATGCAGTTCCTATCAAATCGCGTTGAATAGAAATTACACAAATACGAATTACTACGTATCAACCAAATACAAGTTAGCACAAAAGAAAAGGCACAAATCAAATTAACAAATAACAAATACTAGTGCGATCAAATCAAGTTAAATTCAAATAGCGCAAATACCATTACTACTCTTTAGTTCAAATACAACTTACAGTATAAACGAAGATACACATCACAGTCGATCAACAAAAAATGCCTAGCTCGGAAATCGACCCTTCGATAAGTAATCCACTACAACTATCCGGCAACGATAATTAACCGATTACGTAAAAATAACCATCTACCTACATGACGTATATCTCTAGAAAACTCCCGCTTGCGCAACCTAGGGCGCGGCTTTTCAAATCTACCCACTAATCAAAAAAAGGCAAGCAACAAAGAACAAAGGGAAATAATTCTATTATTACGAAATATTTTTACGTATTACGGACGGGCGTGATTGTAGATACAAATTAAACCAATCAAACCAACGCTCCCTGCCACCAGAATTGTTTAATGTTTATCAAACACTACGGTCGGGATCGACCGGGGAATCGAACCCGGAACCGCGCTCTGCTACCAGTGTGATACGGCCTACGGCTGCTCCCTTAAAGGATCCAATCTTCAGGGGCCCATGAGCTGAAGACCTCCCGAACAGACGTAGGTCGGGCCTTAATGTGGCCACATGGAAATTCCTAATTACATTAAAACATATGGGGGAGCGTTATACTACGGCCAGTCAACCGGAAGGAATTTGGATGAAGCTTACTTACCTATCCAAGGCGACTGGTCCCTCCGGAGTCGGTCAGGTCGCATGTGGTTGTGTAGTGCAAGGAAAGAATGGTGATGTGGTGTGTAGCTGGGTGTGACTGATGGTGATTGAACCTAGACCTTGGCCGTCGGCAGCAGCCCGAGCGTCGACACCGCTCCAACTTGAGGGCGCCTTTCGAGGTTGTCCACAGTCACTTTCTTCTCTCGTCACGATGACAGTCACTTAACTCTATCGTACGATTTACTCACTTACAGAAGCCATTAACTATCACTGGGTATAATGGTTACCGCACAAACGCACACGGAGTTTAAAGGGTCAAAGGTCACTACCGTTTCGCGTAGCAATAGTTAATTCTAGAATATCAGAGGCCGCACTATCTAATATTGCCGAATGCACTTATGTAGGTTTTGAGTCAGACACAATAAGTCCCGGGAAGCTCTCCAGTAGGAATGCGCGTCACTATGATAGACCGTATATTTACTGGCCGCGCCGAATTATTCCGAGTTCTCTAACAGAATGGACCGCGTGCTCACGTCAGCACCGATTAAAGACGACTGACTGCCCTTGGGCGTTTTTCGCACGACCGAAAGTCAAACCGGTATGAATGCACCGCGCCGAGCGCCCTCTCGCGTCAATCCTTGAAAGTGTTTACCGCGAACAATCAGCTAATAGTGAAAAATCAATATATGCTCAAAGCTCAAACAACTCTTGATGGGCGACATAGTTACCAGTGCAAGAGTATCGGCACTGTGCTCACTAATCGACTCTGGATAGTTACATTGGTAGATTCATCCGTTGGATGCTACAATTTTTCACGGCAAATACCTTTGCAACTCTTCTAATATTCAGAGAAAAAGATGGAATCGTCAGTTGTATTACGCCGCCACAACACGATACAGTATTTATAAAGAATTAATAGGTACTCCTTATTTTTAGAAAGCCCAGTATTGTCCAAGGAACCGTCGAGAATTACGACGCAGAGGGGCAAATCAGCGATAATAACATGTAGGTGAGATTTTGTATCACTTGTATTTTTTTTTCTTCTTCTGCCCGTATACGATCCACTGTTGGATAAAAGTCACTCTCACTATAGTGAGCCTTTGTTAATGCCATGTGTACAAAGTAGATAGGAGCATTACCTATCGCACCATAGAGTCTGCTCACCGTCACCTTTCTAGATATTTTATACTTCTATCGTATGTTCAATACTCTGTTTGTCCCACTTTCCTAGCAAAAACTCTGTTTTATGCATTTCCTTAAATTGATAAAACCTTAAAGTTTCTTATAGTCTAACTCAGCAAGCAAAATAAAGACGCCAAAACCTCAACTTGTAAGAATACGCACTTACGCATACATATGCATCTAGAATTATTAAAAACATGAATTTAAGTGCATATGTGTGCGTCAGACAGTGGGATTTTAATGGCAAAAGAGAAAGAAAATAGATTTGTGTGCGAGTACGTCTCTTTGCGTATACTTATAATATCTATCTTTATTTGTACGGTTTGAGTAGTTAAATATTACATATTTTCAAACAATAAAGTTCCCTAGACAAAACAATAACAAACCAATAGATTAAGTTTAATTACTCTACTAAACAAAGTGAATTAAAATTATAAGACTGAATCTGAATAATTTATTAATAATGTTGCTAATGTTGTGTTTAAAATTAACATGTTTTTTTTTTAAATTATTAGCAAAACTATTTAGTGAGCAATATATTTAGAGATAGCCATAACAAAGTACTAAAGAGCATATAATTTATACTTTTGCAGGGTACTAAAAGGTAACCCGGAACCAAAAATCATATGGGAACACCGAGGTGAAGAAACAGAAGAGTTTAATGATTTGGGGAGAAATGTTATTGTGAATGAAGAGGGATACGAAGTAACAGTACAGAACGCTAGTCTTGTTAATGCTGGACTGTATCGATGTACCGCAGAAAATGTCATCGGGAAGGATACTTATGAGGCTTCGTTGATTGTACAATGTAAGCTGATGTTTCATTCAAGTATTTTTGCTAGCGTGGGAACGTAAAGACTAATTTAGTTAAATAATTTAAAATAAAAAATTTTTGTACAGCCGACTTCAATATAATTTATTAAGAATAACTCAAAAAGTATAGGTCTGACCTTGATCAAATTCATATGGGACCACACGAGAAGTATCAGCTTTCATATAAAAAAAGAATCATCGAAATCGGTTTACCCAGTAAAAAGTTATGAGGTAACACACATAAAAAAACACAGTCAATTGAGTACCGTCTCCTTTTTGGAAGTCAGCAGATGATTTACTTCTTTTTTAAACAACCCATAGTATATTCATCACATATTATATTTCTTTCCAATTCAGCGCAGTACTCTTCGTGGAATATCCATTGCTTGAAATGGGGTGATTAACTCTTTTACGCGAGAGCGACATATTGAAAAAAAAACCTTTATATTATAATTTCAAATAATCCTATCTATATTCTTCCTTAACCCTATTAAGGTTCTTGTAATTCTGGGGTTCAACTAAATGGGTTCAAAAACGATACAGGAGGTTATCTATCTTTTTTTATGCAATTTAATTATGTTTTACGCGACTGAATAATATGATAAAATCGAATTGTATTTAAAATTATTTTTATGTGTTTTAATTTTAAAAAGCAACTAAGAAAGAAATATTTCTTTAGATCCCCCAGAGTTAAAGGTATCTTCTGAAACGAACCAAAGCAATCAATTAGAAGTAGAAGCTGGTACGAAAGTAGTGTTAAGTTGCGAAGTCGTAGGCAATCCACCGCCTATAGTGGTTTGGACTAAAAGAGAGAGACCTGTCACTTACTCTAAGAACGAGTGAGTAAATGTTACTTCATATTTAAGAAATTTGTGTTTTTTTTTTAAAGTATATCTAAATGATCTAAGTATATGATCGTAGAAAGAAAGAAATATAGCATAGAATAAAGTATTAAATAAATCTGTATTCGAAAGTTTTATTACAGAATAAGCGTTACAAATGAGTACACAGGCCATCTGATGATAAGCGGACGTCCATAGACGTCACTTTGTTAACAGAGAAGTCTCCAGCTCTCTACCATACTAATCTCAACAGCATTAACTTGCTATTTTACGCTGGTATTCTGTAAGAGCGTGGTCCTTTCTCGACGGAGCCAACCTATTCGTTACACAACTATATTATAGCTGTAACTTGACTTTACCACGTTAATTTGCACACATTAGAACATGGCGCAAGGAACCGCATCGAATTAAATTTTTCTTAATATTGTCAATGCTTTTAATCGAATACATAGAAACAGAGGAAAACGTGTTTTATAGATTGGCGTGTATATTCCGAAAGATTTAACCATACTATTCACGATGTGGGTCAGCAAGTGCAGGGCCTACCCAGTAACTGTGCGTTTTAATAATTGTGATAGTTGACAGTATTTTTTAAAGTAGCAAGGAAGACTACTTATCTGTCAAATCAATAATAACATTGCAGATACCTCACCGACACTAACGACTTGGTGATAGAGAATGCGACCGAATTGCATTCAGGAGTGTACAATTGCAATGCGACAAGTTCTTTAGGATCTGTGCGAAGGAACTACACACTAGATGTCTATAGTGAGTATATTTAATGCTTTTAAACATAATAAGATTTTATTTCTTTCACAATTTAAATTTTTTGCACTGTATAGTATATCAGATTCCAGTCCAAGAATGAATTACTGACTCGGCGGATTCGAGTAACTGGTACTACTAGCTTGTGTCTGTTCCTAGTATTTATAGAATGACTATCACTTATTTTTGTATAACTTCCTTTATTCTTGTGTACGTACATAAAATTTTCCTAAATGTATTGAGAGGCCAAAGTTAATATTTTAATTTCCTTAAATTTTTGTCGGAGCGACTCTTTAGGGTTTAAATCATAGCTTGCTCTTATAGCACTCTTCTGTAAAACAAATATAATTTCAGTATCAGTCGCGTGTCCCCATAGCAAAATACCTTACGGCATTATGCAAACAAGTCTAGCCGTTTCCACACTAGTAATATTTCTTTTTACTAAGTCTGCTTGTTAATTTTGATATATGGGGGCTCCATTGAAGCTTCGCATCTAGTGTTATTCCAAGAAAAATGGTGGTATCGACAAGAGTTAATTTCTCCCCATTTAAAATTACATTAGTATTTAATTGTTTGACATTTGGAGTCATGAATTTCATTTATTTCGTTTTAGTGCCGTCTAAATGCAAGTTATTAACATTAACAAACCAATTTACTAATTTAGATATAGCATTATTTACTTCGTCATATTTTATTAACTGTCGTTTTAAATTGAAAATTAATGAAGTGTTATCAGCAAATAATACTATATTATAGTTATTCCCTACTAAGTAAGGTAAGTTATTAATATATACAAGAAACAGAAAGAGGCCGAGAAATGAGCCTTGAGGCACGCCTATTTGTACTGTCGACCCGAAAGAGCTGATACTATTAATGACAACCTTTTGCGTTCTGTTACTTAAATATGAAATAATTAATTTAAGAGCATTACTTCTTACACCGTAGTATTGTAGTTTCCAGATTAATGTTTCATGGTGAACACAATCGAAGGCTTTGGATAGGTTACAAAATATACCCAAAATATCCTGTGAATTCTCCCATGAATTGAAGATATATTTAATTAGCTCAACACCAGCATCAGTTGTCGAGCGACCCCTTGTGAAACCGAATTGATTTTTATGAAGTAAACTATTTACAATAAAAAAAAATTTACATTTGATCAAGAATAATTTTTTCAAAAATCTTACTAAGTGTTGGCAGTACAGAAATTGGTCTAAAATTGGCGGGATCTAATGTACTACCAGATTTGAATAAAGGTATTAGTTTACTACGCTTCATTAAATCAGGAAACATATCATATTCGATACTAGTATTAAAAATAATTTTTCTTAAAATCAATTGTTTTAAAATATTTTAAAATATCTTTTGATGATATTTTATGAAATTTAAAACTCTTTGTACACGCATTTACATTTTGTTTAAGTAAAGATTCGGCGACGGCAGGAGAAGAATTCAGTGACTTAGTGGTTAAGATCGGAATATCAGTAAAATATTTCTCAAAAACCATAGCAACATCCTGATCTGATTCAGTCCATTTGTTGTTAAAACTTAACCGGTAGTTTGAATTATGAGAGTTGGCCTTACCCGTTGCACTATTAATTATACTCCATGTCATTTTAATTTTATCACTTAGCGATTAGCCGTCGCAGTCTATTTTTCTTAATGATGCTTCGTTCAGAGGCAAAAAGGCGGTGGTGTGTCTTTATGTAGTTATGTTAGGATTAATGGTGACGGTAATTGTGCACGCAATTGAGGGAGAAAGGTGCTCTCCAAACTATGTAAGACATATCATTTTTAGTTTTCACGCGTTTTTTAACTAACTAATTTTAATAACTTTGATAACATAAATGCAAACATGTAATTTTATTTCATTGAATTGTAATAATAATAATAATAGTTTAGTACAAGTAATGATATGTACGCCATTATCATGGTAGAATTAGTAACGGCCTGGTAAGAACATGCAGGGAGTCGATGGATGCAGGTGGCTCAGGACCGTGCTTTGTAGCATTCCTTGGGGGAGGCCTATGTTCAGCAGTGGATTTGTAAAGGGCTGAATGGTGATGACGATGAAAATCATTATATTGTGTACTACATTCTGGCAATAAATAAAAATTCTATTGAACTAACAATATATACACTTGTGCGCCGATAACAATCAGTGTTTAAAACAACATATTTATGATATATTTACAGTGAGGCCTGTAATAGCCCAGTCAGAAATGGAAACACCAGTAGAAACGGTAGAAGGCCAACTGGTAGAGCTTCCTTGCACTGTGCAAGGCGCACCTACACCTGAAGTGATTTGGTTACAAAATGGAAATACTATAACCGAGTCCAGGAAGTACAGGGACGAATATGGGCTAAGGTAGAATTTAATAGTTACTTATTTGTGATTTTAGTTATACTGTGTATTAGATTCATGTAATTACTGTTGTACGTGCTGAGAAGATGAGTTGGCGTGTTATTTGAAAAGTATAGAAAAGGTAAAAGTGAAAATTTGATCTAAGTTATTGTACGGTCTTTACAAACTGCACATTTCTGTACATAAGCATTTTTACCTTAATTTTTCATTTTTCATTATCATCAATTCAGTACGCAATCATTCGCTGTCGCGCATTGTACTCACTATCAATAGTATCAGAATAAATTACATAATCAGTTCAAGTCTTTATCATTTCTATCAACTTCTAAGATTATACAGCACAGAAGCTCGTACATCTTAATGGTCCTTCGAGCTGGATATGAACCAGCGAACTATGGATATAATATCTCCTATCAAATATGTCTTCAGTCTGTTTTAGACTTAGGTTACAAATCACCAAATTATATCCATATAAGCGTGTGAGTGCGTATGTGCATCTTGCGAATATATTCGTGTGCTATATGCTAACGTGGTTGCCATTTTTTTTCTTAGAAATTATAGTACAGACACAGACAAAATTTATTAAATTTACAACATTAAAACATTCGAATACCAACAATGTGCTCTTAAATGGGGAGGAGTTGAGTCTTGAGGATACCACTGTTTTTCTTGGTATTACTATTGACGCGAAACTTCAATGGGGCCCTGTTGTAAACAGTTGTAAACAGTTGGAAACATAACTGTTGTCAACATTTTTGGTGGGGTTGTTATAGTGTTTGATGATAATATAGTAGTAGTGCACGCACTTGTGGAAGGGAAGGTTGTTCATTTCAGACTGTATACACGCCATTTTTTTGTTTGAGTTAATTATTTCCATTTGTTTATCTTAATCGTTATATTATAAATTATAAAGGCTGCTTCGGTTTTTAGATTTGTAGCGAACTTGACTGACTTTGGTGAATACACGTGTATCGCTAGAAATGATCACGGCGCTGCTATGTTGAACTACACTGTTTATATTTGGGGTAAGTTAAAGTACTATGATTTTTTAAATAAATGTTTATCTATCGATTTAAATTAATAAATAATTATAATGAAGATCAGTAAAATGAAACCAATAATCTATTTAAAATAATGTTTGGGTGACTATAATATAGAATTTTATGTTTTATGCTTTGGTAGAGCCATGCAGCAGCTATACTACTATAGTTGTAACACGAATGGGTCGGCTCGATCGGGGAAGGACAATGCTCTCACAGAATACCAGCGTAAAATAGCAGCTTAACACTGCTTTGTTTCGTATGGTGATTGTAGAGAACCGGAGACCCTTTTTACTGGAAAAGAGGTATTCCATCTTAGTCCTCACGGGTAACAACGCATCTATCAACCTTCGATTTCCAAACGCATCTATAAATAATATCCATCTCTCTCGCATCAAGTGCGAGGGAGCTGGATATTATTCCGTCTCAATTCTTTATTTCGCCGCCAAGGCCGTCTACACTATGACATAAGTGGTAGTGACGAAAAAATCTTACACTTTATGTCGCCTAGCTCCCATCCACCAAACCCGTACCGTCCGATAAAGAACTTCGTTCCAAAAACCCATTCTCTCTTGCCTTGAAGACACCCATATTATAATCCGATGGAAAGACATATGCTGGCATTTTATGCCACTCATTTGCTGTACGCATTATAAACGACAAATAAAACCGCTTGGCGCGAATGCGTGTTTTCTCGACAACGGAGGCGTGGAGACCACGAACTCATGAACACGAGCAATCAAATTCAAACAAAGGTTACAAATACGTTGTTATTCCGGAGTACTAACATGAAATGCCTAACAATATGTAATTACACAGGCTCTCCTTTCCTTCAGACGGGAACACATTACTGATTTACTATTGCTTGATGGCAGAAATATGTCAGAGGAAGATATAAAAACATGCAGAATGTTTGGTTGATAAGAAGTCGTACGACTTACTTAGTAAAAACGTTAAGTTTAAAATGGTTTTCATTGCAGTGGTACCGTTTGTAGAGCCGCCTCTGCTTGAGGTAAAGAATGTGGTGATTGGCGACAACGTAACGCTGGAATGCAATGCGGTTGGATTTCCTGTACCGGTTATACTGTGGCAGTACAAAGGAGAGCTTTTGAAGGAAAATACTACCAATTTAAGGTACGCAGATTTCTTTTTTTTTTTTTAATATGTAGGGCTTTCCTACGGACGCTAGTATCCTGAAAATATCAATGATAATTTCTTGTTTCCTCGGAAAATAAATATCCATCTATGGTATTCAGCAAAACAGATTTTTAAAATTGTCAGTTTTGGTTTCTTGGCTTTAAAAAAATCGATATCTACGATAGTATTTGGCAAAAAAGGCAGGTCTAAATTTCAAATTCGATTGTGATTTCCTACTATAATATAGGAAATTAACCCTATAAAGTAACGTTTTTTATACAATATAATAATTTATTTTGTAATAAATACGTTTATTAATAACAGTTCAATCGATATCAATAAGTTTATCTCAAATACGTATCTACTTTCTTAAATATAAAATACTGGTGCATTTTTCACATGATCATATGATCATTCCCAATTGTTCTTACCGATAATGATAGGATTAAGTAAGTGTATATTTGCTCAATATATATATATATATATAAATATTTTGTATGCCTGCTTATTCATTTCAGTTTCAATGACGTTGGTAATTTATACATAAGTGACGCGAGCTCAAAGCACGAAGGGATGTATGAATGTATAGCCAAGAACTTTGCCGGGCTGGCAAGCAGGTCGATCGTTCTCAATGTGAATGGTAATTGTAAACCGTCTTTATATCAAACTTTTAATTGTTTTTTTTTAATTTTAATCAAGCTGTAAAATCATATTTAAAACTTACAAAAAATCAATGGATGCAGGTAGTTTAAGAATGTATGGTTGTGGCGGCGCTGTCGTCACGCCACAAGCGAAAAACAACGAGGCCTAAATCACGATATCAAAGTTCCAAAGTACTGCGGTATATATAAAATAGCTTAATAACCACAAGGAGCGTTAGCCGCTCGCCGAGCTGAACTCTTTGCCCGGCGGGAGACCTTCCCTTTTCCATTTCACGGCCAAATGTTAACTCTACAAATTATGGTGACAAACGAGCGCTCAGTTCAGTTCACCTGATGGTAATGCTGTTGCCCTAAGACACCTGAATCAAAATGCAGATGCATTTTCACCCCTGAAAACAGAGATGGTAAGACTGAGGGGAGAAATGAGTCCTGATGTAAGTCAGTAAGCCTTTATTTATCAGTGTAACGTTGATTTTAGAACTACCAACTATTCTGCGAGACAATTACACGGGGCCGTACATAGCGACGGTTTTAGACACGGCGATGGCAATCGCCTGTAAAACTGCAGGCAAACCTAAACCTTATGTCGTATGGAGGAAAGGCGATTATTATCTTGATAACGGTACGTTAAATTTCGGTCAAGTAGTAACTTATTTAAGAAGTATCTTAACGCTCTTATATCTATTATTGTTTAAATATGGATTTCACTTTACGGGACAAGAAAGCAAGAAACTTTTTTTTTAATTTATTGATTAAAGTGTTCATACATTTTTTTTTATTTGTACCATTAAACCATACTCTATGGGTATATTTTATAATCCGCTCATAACGGGTGACTACTGGACATGCAACTTTTTAATAATGTCTAATGTCCTACAGACCGAATTCACGGCGGCCATTCTTAACCATCTGCTCAAGATAAGATTATTGTGATTGAATGAATGGGCCGATAATTCAACACGACCGGAGTGAGATCAGGCACAGGACTAACGACTTTACGTGCTTTCCGAGGCACGGAGTTGAAACACCAACAACTTCTTAACTTCGGGCTGGTATTAAGAATTTATTGGCAGAAAAACCCCAATAACAGATTTTGGCCCACCCTCGGGATTCGACCCCGGGACTTCATTAACAGCAGCCGCGTTTACGACCACTATACTAACGAAGCGGTCAAGTATCTTTCATGTAATGAGGAATCAATATCATCACCACCCTTGGCTGGTGATTCAGCGATCTTAGGCCCGTATTACTAAACGTTACTCAGCTCAAGTACACGCACTTGAGTACAATCTTCAGGTTATGATCTTATTAATAAACATATCTCAAGATGCGGTTTAGGTTTACTATATCAGCTGAGTGCCACACTGATTAATAAACGAAACTCGACACTCAAGTGTGTGTACTTGAATGCAAGTCACAGAACAGTATTCCTAAGTACAGCGTTTTGAGATAGTGTTTTTATGCGTTTATTAAATAGCAACGATCTTGGGATGCTGATATCGTAATGAGGGCGTATCAAATGATTACGCACTTGAGTTCGTCACTAAGTAACGTTTATTAATACGGGCCTTAGTTCCAGAAGTCTTCGCACCTGTGACGCTGCTCCCTGTCAACAGTCTAGGTAATTCATATAAACTATAAAACCCTCAAAAACTACGTATTCAAATTGGCGTTAGAATTTTCTTTTTCCACTACTCACCAAACTGTTAGTTTTTAGTAAAATCCGTCGGTAAAATGCAATTACCATATTAATATTATAATAATCTATGTTATATGCATGCTTCACTGAAATAATGTTGCCAGATGAAAGATACGACATCGGTGTAGACGGAACTCTGACGATCAGGTCGCCTTCAGAAGAACTCAGTGGGGAATACACGTGTATGGCCAAGAACATTGTGGGTAACGCGAGCAAGACCGTCACTGTGGAAATATACTGTGAGAATTTTTTTTTAATTTATTTATTTACCAGCTTGGTCCACTGTTGGAAATAGACTTCTCTTAAAATTGAGACGGATTGTTGTAATTATCACACTTGGTTATCACAGAAACAAATGTCCAGCACCTGCGGCACCTTTGACGCTGTTTTCGTATTTAATACTCATTTTTTATAGGATAGGGTGACAAACGAGCTCACACTCAATGTGATGGTAAGTGGTTGCTGTGGCCCATAGACATCTACATTTATCCTCGTTTGCGAATCAAAATGCAGATAGATGCGTTGTTACTCGTGAGGACTAGGATGGAATGCCTCTTTTCCACTAAAAAGGGTGTCCGGTTCTCTACACTCACCATACGAAACACAGCAGTGTTAAGCTGTTATTTTACGCTGGTATTCTGTGAGGGCGTGGTCCTTCCCCGGCCGAGCCGACCCATTTGTGCTACATCTATACTACTAATATAGCTACAGCATGGCTCTACCACGTATAAAAAAAGTCATTAGTGATTTTCCTGTCTTAAACAATCGACTTGTCTAATCAAATCAAACTGTGGGCAATTTTTAGTGTAATATAAACGACAAAGTACCATTTGTGTATTAATTTGCTTTAATTTACATTTAAGTCAAAATAAGTTTTGTGTAGTACAAGTTTTTCTATTTATATATCTTTTACAAAGTTTACGTATAATATGTACAGAGTGGCGTCGGGTTTTATGAATATAAATAATTCAATTCTCTCAAATAAATATTCAAATTCATTTAGCTAGTAGTTTAGCCACAGAATTTTAAATAGTTTTGTTTACTGTTTAGTAATGTTAAAACAAATAACTTTTCATGAAGCGAAGGCAAATGCAGATAGGGAAGCCGTTTGGTTCGAATTTCAGGTTCGCTACAATACGCTTGCGAAATTAAAATATGCGCATAGTAGATATTAACTGTTTCTATTAAAGTATAATACAAAAAATTGCTAGATACGAGTATAATTACGCTGCATTACATTTGAACGTACACAAATTGTCATCCGTCCAGTCAATTGGATAACTTCTAGAATAGTTTACAACACTCTGGCATCGATAATGAAACCTATAAAACAAACTTCCAAAGAACCCAGAGGTAGGTAGCCTCTTCTGTTACGTAATTGGTTTAAAAAAATTCAATTCAATTTAGCCACACCACAGTATAACTTATGTACACTATAGCTTAAGCTACCTGCTCAGACATAGAGCGCTCAAAATTTCAAAACACGAGCCAAGTTGTACAGGGTTATTTTTCAAAGAGTAGCCAAATTTTATACCTAAGTTCAAATATATAAATAATGATTAACCGTTATTGAAGTTTTAAAAATACAAGTAAATAAGGCTTCTACTTTTTTAATTATCCCAAATTGAACGTGATTTATGGGCAACAAGTACTCGTACGCGCGCTCCTCTGTGTGCGATTCAATTTACAAAGTTATTGCCAACCGATCGACCCTTACGAATGTGTGCGTGCGTAGTAAAATCGTAGGCGTTAGATATTTATGAATGACAATCAGGTAAAATAATACATTACGCGCATTCTGAATTTAAAACATAAAAGGACAGAATGTTTGAGATTTATTTAAATAAATTTCTTCATCATTCGCCTATATTACTTATTCTGAACCTACTCTGCAAATTTGGTCGTATATTGAAAAGTAACCCTGTATAAATCGCTAATACTGCTATATTTATTAATTGCAATTTAGCGTGTTTACTTTATGATATGTTCCTATTTGTGTACATAAGGAACATGATGAAAGGTCGGAATGCCTTCTTCAACATACAGAGGATATTCTAAATTAACAGTAGGGTAGAATTACAACACAAATAACTTTTTCCAAATACCAAACTCACGTGCTGTCAACTGGATGAGCGGGTTCGGCAGAGTGAGTATGGTACCTTTTATTTCATCTGTGGTATGGGCAACACTTTATAAAATGCATGCCTGCCAGAATATTATTAATAAGACTTGTGTACAGTAGCGAACTTAAAAAGGCTGACGAGGACCACGTGACGTCACCTAGCGTACGTGGAGCTGCGTACCATACTTTCACAAGCTGCTTAAACATTTCAACACACCATTTATGTTCGGTTATGAATATGATTCACGTTCAATCAAAGGGGGTAATTACATTTTGTGGAAAAAATTGTTTTGTGTTACGGTAAAAAAAAATCAGTTGTATGCACTCACAGACATAGATTGTCTGTGGTGCAAATGATTTTTTTTTAATGTACTTCATTATATTTTTATTATAATATTCGAGTTTTACCTTTTAGCCATTCCCACACTAATGCAGTCCGAGGAGTCACCGTCAGTGGTGGACGTGGTGGAGGGAACAAATGCGACCATCCACTGTCCCATTCGCACCGCTCCTACCGACATACTCAAATGGTATAAGGTCCGATGATTTATTAGACAACTGACTTTAGATTAGTTTGATTTATTTAATTATAATTATCACTTAAATTTGATATTTGATGTCTCATGTAACGTTTTTTTAATTGTACTTTTTAATTTAGGACGCTGTTATAATTAATTATTGGTACTTATAATAATGTTATAAAGTTTTTTCTAGTGCTGCATCATACAATTTTTCATATAAAAAAAATATCGCTTAGGTTATCCCACTGTGTGAACAAATTCTGTTTATTTATTTGACTTTTCCATCGTATTTTCCACACTTTGCATGTAGATTGGCGATTGTAATATCAGATGACTCACATTACTTCTCGTCACTGTGTATTTTACATCTAACGTAAATAAAATGGTAATACCACTATCTACGAGAAGCTATGTGATCGTTCTGGCATAACCTATAACCTTTTACGATACTCATTGGAGGAAATGGTGTTGTGGATTCTCTTTCACCGCCACTACATGTCACATTCTGTTTATTACAAACAGTGAATGCGTAAACAGTTAGCATTTGCTTTATGTATAAAATGTGTATGAGTTCATGTATTCATTTTTTATTTTAAATAATAAGAGAGAGCAACAAGCGAGCACACAGTTCACCTGAAGGTAAGTGAATGCTCTGGTCCATAGACACATCTGCATAAAATGCAGACGCGATTTCACCCCTGAAGACTAAAATAGAATGCTTCGTAACCAGTAAAATCGTTCGGTTCTCTACACTCACCATACGAAATTCAGCAGCATTATTCTGCTGTTCCCGCTGGTATTCTAGTGGTGGAGCTGATCCAACTGTGACGCAGTAGCTGCAGTGTGGCTTTACCATGCTACAAACGCAATCCTAAAAACGTTGACATAGTCAAATAATCATCATTATTCTGTTATTTTAAATTCTGAAAACCTAATTTATCTTAATATATCGATTTTTTTTGTATTAAGGTAATTTATATTATTAGTTTTTAAAAATATAGGTAAATGATAATTATTTGACAACTCAATTCTTTCGCAAGTTGACAGTTCATTAAGTATTTCCTTAGAGTAGTGTTAAATATTAAATTATCTCTATACTTAAACTTAAATATTAAATTGTCTCATTCCACTTTCATTTAGTGAAGAGAGAGCGAGAGCAACTTTAATAACTACTTAAATTGACGTTGATTTTAAAAACCGTTAATGTTTAAAATTTGGGTATTTTTCATCATATAAGTTTTAAACCGCTAATCCGACAGATGTCTCATAATCCACAATGAAAATACGTAATCCTTACGTGGTAGAGCCATGCTGCAGCTATATTAGTAGTATAGTTGTAGCACGAATAGGTCGGCTTGACCGGGGAAGGACCACGCTCTCACAGAATACCAGCGTAAAATGGCAGCTTGACACTGCTGTGTTTCGTATGGTGAGTGTAAAGAACCGGAAACCCATTTTACTGGAAAAGAGGCATTCCATTTTAGTCCTCACGGGTGACGACGCATTTTGATTCTTTATTGAAGAAAGAAGTAAATGTAGATGTCAATGGGTCACAGCAACTATTTACCATCAGGTGGACTGTGTGCTCGTTTGTCACCCTATCCAATAAAAAAAATGTGACATCAATCTTAATGAGTAAGTCCGTCAGTTATTAAAGTATTTCCCATCAAAAAGGTTTAAGTCGTTAACTCGGTAAGAGTGTAAATTCGCGATGAAAACATGAAATGGTCGTGTGCAGGAAACGGAGCTGGTATCGACCGGCAGTTTGCAGCTGCGGCCCGTGTCCCGTGCGCACGGCGGCGCGTACGCGTGCGCGGCGCGCAACGCGGCCGGCGCTCGCCACGCGCGCCTGCGCCTGCGCGTGCGCTGGCCGCCGCGCGACACGCACGCGCGCACGCAATACATCGAAGCTGTCAGCGGGGACGACCAGTACCTGGACTGCACCGTCGACGCGAACCCTAGCGTCAAGGTAACTACTACTCGTGCATAATCATATCACACCTGAGTCCGATGACTTCACAGCGACGTGCTTGTACAATGTACAAAAAAGTTTACAATGTATTAGGTCCTTACATATGAAATTGACGTTTTGTCGAACTGGCCACTTTGATCTCAAATATCTGGCGTTTGATTAGGAATTCCAAATTCAAATTTAGTCTTGTGTCCCCATGTCCCTATTTCTGTTTCGAATTTATATTAGTGATTCATTTGTTTTCGCACAATTTGATTTTTCTTTGACATCGTTGTATTCACACACAATATGGAAAACTTAAATATCGCTTTATTTACGTATACGAGTTTCACCGTGGCACCAGCAATTAGATTAAAGAAAGACGTGTTGTTTCTATAAACATCAATGCTAAAGATACATGGGTTATGCAGACAAGATCTACCGTTGGACTTAATTAAATTAAGCAGTTCTGGGCAATCGATGGAGAAGTGAAGATTTTGTCAAGGTAAAAAAGCTCAGAATATTGTCTTTGTTTATCTAATTTCGTAACTCCAAAGTAATTCACTCTTTCATTATACGATGGAAACCGACGGATCAATCCATGTTTATGACATAGACATTGCAGAAAACGTTCCTGAACTCGTTCAATATTAGCTATATGTACATTATAATAGGATGAACAAACTACCAAGGCATATTCAAGGATCGGTCTCACAAGAATGTTAAAAAGATATATTAGACTAAAGGGTCTTTCTTTTAAATTTCTTCATATCTCCAGTAACAAAACCAACTAACTGATAACCACGTTGCATTAGGTGATCAAAGTGTTGCTTGAATTCTAGTTTTGAGTCAAAGAAAACGCCCAAATATTTAGCAACATAGCTTTCAAATAAAGGTTGATCATTGATATGGTATGTATACTATAGTCAAGTTTTCTTAGATGTGAAAGTCACAGAAAAACACTTATTTTCATTCAAATACATTTTATTACTTGAACACCGGGTATGAATATTGTTAAGTTCACGTTGCAACAAGAGGCAGGCATCATTAACATCACTGATTATACGGAAAGCTTTCATTTCATCTGCATATAGTAAACATTCACTTGTGATTTGGTCTACCAAGTTATTAATAAATATATTAAACAACAAAGGGCCTAGATGGAATCCTTGAGGAACCCCTGATGTTGCGAGAACTGGTTCGTAGAGGAAAGTTTTAATTGCAATTAGCTGATTACGCTTAGAAAGGTTTATTATCCAACGCAATGAATTACCATGTATCCCGTATACTGCCAATTCAGTTACTTTTTATCAATTTAGTAATGTTCAGCAGTGGAATTTTTTAGGATGTAACGGTAACGGTAGAGTATAACAGTTTAGAAACGCCTTTGATGTTAGGCGATGCTGTCACCCGTGTAGGTATTTATGCTATCCTGTGCAAATCAAATAAGAATATCAAATAAGATCCAAACTGTAACCAAAATGAAAATAAATTCGTTTTTTGTTTTATATTTCTCGATAACTAGTCCAAATGTGTTTAACTTGCTTATATTATTACAATGAGCTGGCTAACGCTATTTGCCGTTATGCCTACAACAACGCGTGTTTTACACATCACAACTACAAGTAAGACACAGCCGCTTTCATGAGATATAACATTTGCAATCGAATCATCATTTTTATTGCATGCTATTGATATCTACATTTCTACTTATCGATTCCAGACGAAATGGCTTTTCAATTCCAAGTTGATGCTAGGCGAGAATAGAAGCCGCTTGAAGCTCATGAACATCCAGCTCCGGCACACCGGCGTATACAAATGCATCGCCAGCAATGAATACGGAACGCTTGTGAAGGAGTTCACTTTGGATGTTCTGGGTAAAAATAAGTTACATTTTGCGTTCCTATATTAGATTATTTCAGAGGACTTGTAGCGGATAAATGTTGGACTATCTTACGCAGCCATTATTTAACATAATGTTTTATACAATTTACTAGCTTTCCTTGCACGCGCACTACAACTCACCACAGTTTCATTATAATCGGATAAATGGTGAACATACGGTTTAAACAAATAAACTTTTATTTTTATATATAAAGATTTCTTTATAATGCTCAAACATCTCGTCATTTCAGTTCCACCCTTTATATCGGAATTCGATGTTCTCGACGTTCAGCTGAAAGAAGGGACGAACGCTACCCTCGAATGCAACGCCCGCGGCTACCCTAAGCCTGATATTACGTGGGAATTCAAGTAAGCACATTAGTAATATAAGTATTAAGCTGAACACACATTTGTCCGCGTTGTACGCGCCGTACGCGCCGAATTTTAGAATTCGTTCTATGAAATCATATAAAACTTCGCACATTACACCTGCACCATACGCGCTTTTTTTTATAAAATTCGGTAGGTATCCGAATATTGAAGGACGCATGCTGATGACGTCATATAACGCAGCGCGTTTGGCGCGTACTGGTACTCAGTGTTGTCTAATGTTAAAAAAAATTCATAAGTTCAACAACTTATGTTTTTTTTTTAAAACGATTAATTGCTATTTTTACATAAAAAAGTGGTTTTGGTGGCTTATGGTGTAAACTTATCAAGTCCGCATGGAGGGGTAAACACGATAACTTTTGAAAATATCATTTGTTTAACTCAATCTATTTTTTAATCTCTTCATCTACCATTTGGGAAGCCATGGAATGTAAGTTTTTTTTTTATAGAATAAGGGTGATAAACGAGCACACAGTCCACCTGATGGTAAGTGGTTGCTGCGGCCCATAGACATCTACATCTATCCTCTATTACAAATCAAAATGTAGATGCGTTGTCACCCGTGACGACTAAGATGGAATGCCTCATTTCCAGTAAAAAGAGCCTCCGGCCACCTGCACTCACCAAGCGAAATGCAGAGGTAAGCCTCTACTTCACGCTGATTTTCTGTGAGGTCGTGGTACCACCCCGGTTCGAGCCGGCCCATCCGTGCGACAGCAAAAGCTGCCGCGTGGTTCTACCACTGTAAAAACCACTGTAAGTGGCAGTTTAATTTTGTTTTGTTTAGTTATAATTAATTTTTTTTCGGCTGAGAAATCCAAAATAGAAATACAAAATATTCCAAAAACCAAATCTGATACATACTTGACCAAGGTTATTATTTTTATAATCACAGATTTTTATTACAATATTTTGTTTCGCTAAAAGTACGTAAGATTTCTATATAAATATACTTATACGTACCGGCAGGCGAAGTGTAGGGCGTCCCCCCACTAGATTGAGTGACGACCTGGTAAGACATGCAGGAAGTCAATGGATGCAGGTGACTCGTTACCGTGTTTTGTGGAGTTCCTTGGAGCCTATGTTCAGCAGTGGACTTATGAAGGGCTGTAATGGTGACGATGATGATACGTTTTGGACTTTATGGAGTGATCTGAAGGTGTACTTCGGTATATGCTACTAGAACTCCTCGACGAATAGAACTAGGTGTGCCGAGATTGTGCTCGTTATGTTATTTATGATGAGTCCTTGCCCCCGGTCTTGATGGATTGACCTGAAAATCTACTTTGGTGAATGCTACTGCATCTCCTCGATAAGTAGAAATAGGTGTGAAATTTGTCCTCGTTTTGTTATGATGAGACCTTACCTCCGGACTTGATAGAGTGACCTGAAGGTGTACTTTTATGACTGCTACTGGAACTCCTCGACGAGGAGAACTAGGTGTCCCGAGTTTTTGCTCGTTTTTTTTTTAGTTATGAATAGATTTTACCTCCGGACTTGATGGAGTGACTTGAAAGTGTACTTCGGTGTCTGCTACTGGAACACTTTGACGAATAGAACTACAATTTAAATTTTTTAAAATATTTATTTTTATATATTATGAGCATTATGAGTCGTTTACTTTTTGATTTTACAAGCTTTTTTTTAAATTAAAATTTGACATAAAATTAACGGAAAATTAGAAGTATAGTAATACCTAATTATAAGGTTTTTAGTGAAAACTTGTGTGTAATTAAACTACTTTAAAAATTTGCGTATAATCATATTATACGTAATTCTTTTAATGCGATTAAGGCATGCGCTGTTGGATTTATCAATAGCTTATTTTGTATATATTGTGACCTAAAATATCCGAATGACTCTTAAGAATGTTAAATATCATCATTGGCATTGATGGAATTTGATGTTAAATTAAGCTTTATTATTATTGTAGGTCATTTTAGGAGTGTACTCGTATTATTCCATACAACATTCTGAACACTAAAAAAAAATTAAAAATCGGCATTTAAAAATAATTTAAAAAATCAGTAACCCGACTGCAAAAAAGATAATTTAAAAGTAATGAACTAAAAAGACTGAAAAAAGATAGAAAATAGAAAACAAAATTAAAATAAACTATAAACAAAATAAAGTCTACTTCGGTTTAAAAAATAATAATACTTCGGATAATAAATTTAAAAGTGAAATTAATGAAGGTAACATAAAGTATAAATTAAAATGTTATTTCCTTAACAAATATTAGTTGTTATCCCCATTTTTGTAAATGTAGACAGAACGGCACGCAACACAAACCTGCGTGGTTTTTCGCTGTGCCGCATAGCAATAATGTAACAATTTTTATCCAATAATAAATAAATAAATAAAATAAATAACAGACTATAATATTATGAGCTGAAAGCCTAAGTTAAATACACGCATTAGATTTAGTAGCAAGCGGAACCCATTAATTTTCTTTCGGTATAATGTTTTTTTTTTCAAACAACTATCTAAGAACACTTGGGTTTTCCATCCAGCCGTTTGGAAGATACGAGGTAATAAATAAATTTACAAACATACAAGACACGCGCGAAAAGCATAATCCTTCCTTAGCAGTCGGGTATAAAGAGGCACAATTGATGTAAATTTTGTATTGTACGCAAAAAAACACTTTTTACCGAAAGGCGGTTACCGATTCTACTGTATATTCTATGTATGTGGCAAAATCTCCGCGGTTGGTTAAGTGATTTCATGATATTTCTTTATTGAAAGATTTCATTCAGAACCAATGTTAATTATTGAAATAATATAGGATACGGTTGAGATTCACAACTAGTATAAAAAAAGGTATATACAAGATTATAACTAATTTTATGTAATACAGGTCTCTACATCTAACTGCAGTGTAGGTACATCCATTTTCATTTCTATATCTCTTTCTAGTAATACATCATGGCAGCCTCAGAATTCAACCATAATAAGTAGAAACGTATCAATTAAATCGGAGGGCATTTATCGTTGCGATGCGACTAATAAGGCTGGGAATGCCCGCTTGGTGTATAGAGTAAGTGTGGTGGGAGGCGCGAAGATAAAAGAGATCACGTTGTTTAATGGAAACGTGGGGACGACCGTGCTAGAGAAAGTTGAAATTGTGGTAAGTGTAACAAACGTACTAAAATAACTAGGTATAGTATTGATCATAATTACACTTAATTTTAAGATACAATTTTTAGTGGACATAGACATAAACATAGACATACGTTTTACGACTAGTTACGACTGGAGAACCCGACCACCACAATAATTTAACACAAAATACCATCGTAAGAAAAAACGCATCTGTTCGGTGTAGCGTCTTTATCCGAGATTAAGTAACTCACATACATTGAGACTTTTTGATAATTCGCAAAACTAGATTAAATACATATATCTTCCAGTACAATGCGATTCAAATAAGAATAATATGTGTAATGACCTGGCGCCATATTTTGATGTCATCGCTGTGAATTCAATAGGTTAAGCAAAACGGGTATTTTTGAAATAATATTTATTTAAAATTTCAAATATGTATTTAATTACAAAGAAAAACTTTTAATTGGAATCAAGTACTTCAGACAGTTGACAGATCGCGGTCATTCGAGGTCATTGATGTTCCTATGTTCCTATTCTTATTTGAATCGCATTGTAAGTCATGTTAAAATGTTACTAATATATAGTATTTTCTATTATGGTATTATTTTTTAAGCTTAAACGTAATAAGTAAAGTCTAGAATTATAGTATGTCTAAAATATTGTTATTTCCTTAATAAGGAAAGCACGTTTTTATATTCTTACAGCTTGGATTACGTATACGCATTGCTTGTAAAGCGTTTGGAAAACCAGTTCCAAAAATACAATGGATAAGATATGGCAATATTGTTGGTAATAATACCGCTGATATAAGTTACGCTGACTTGATGATGGATGAAGTAGCAACTTCTGATACTGGAACTTACTCGTGTGTTGCTTCAAACGAATTCGGAGTGGATGAGCGAAAAATAAAATTGGATGTTTTAGGTAAGTGTTATTAACAAATAATATTAGGTAAGGACAGAGAGACTAGATAAAAAATCAGAGCCGTATTTGAACGTGGCAATGAAGAAATGAACAACAAAGCGCCTGAACAAAAAAAAATAAACAAAATGAAGAAGGCCACAAATGCGTTGCTGCATTTGTAGACTAAATGCCAACTGTAACTTTTCTAATTCGTTTACCCTTCGAACCGGAACACAGTAATAGGTGCACTGCTGTTTATTGACAGAAACAGGTAAGAGCCTGGTGGTGCACTGCTGTTTATCGACAGAAACAGGTAAGAGCTTGGTACCTTCACTAACGTACTTCCGGACATAAAAAGATACCGAGTAAAGACGTGAACTTTTGAATATAGTCCTCCGCTAAATGGATTTTCATTTGAATTGCTATGAATGCGGTGCGGTGGCAGGTCAATTAGCTATAGTCCTCGCTTTCTAAAAGATGCTCAGTATTGTGTGTCAACAAGTTTTTCTTTAGGTTACAATTACAGCTTATCAAAAGTTCACTGCTGAACAAAGGCCTCCCCCGTATATCACCTTTTTTAGTTGTTTCCTAATGGAAGATGCTGCTGATATATTGCGAGCTACTGATTGAAATGTTTAGGACCAATGGGGTAATTTATACATTAAAACTTCAAAACCGTTTATTTATACTTTTTGTATTCTCTATTACAAAAGATTACAAAGAGCGGACTTAATTTCATGAGGCATTCACTACCAGCTGCGTTTTTTTGAAACCCAATTGTCAAAGGCATACTGTATCGGAAATCTATAGAAGAGATCCATTGAAACAGCTATATGAACAATAAAATAATTCTGTGCTGCCAAGTACACAAGCTAATATTTTTATTTAATGTTTTAAAAATAAACAATAATTAAAGGACATTTTAGAATTGTCGAACTCAATAATTGAGAACCTTCTATTTTTCAGAATCTCCAAAAATATTCCAATCACTATTCCAAGACGACGATAGTTCAGATTCTGGAAACGTTGTAACCTTAGAAGTTGTATCTGGTCAGTCTTTCTATTTACACTGTCATCCGTATGGAAATCCCTTACCGGATATATACTGGTTTAAAGATGACATTCCATTGAAGTTATTCGATGAAACGATGGTGTCTACTGATTTTGGTGAGATAATACAATCACCTGCTGCCAAGTATGAACAGTCGGGCAACTACACTTGTATAGCAAGGAATAAAGTTGGAGAGACTGGGCTCGTGTATCTAGTTGATATTTTAGGTGAGTATTTATATTTTGTAACGTTCATAAGAAAAACGCTAACTTTGTTGCTAGTTTTTTCTCAGACCAAGGTTTTTCTGAACTGATATTGAATAAATATTTCTATTATATTGTAACATTTCTAAATTATTTTAATATGAAAAAGTTTTAGAGGTAATAGTTATGTATAATATACATAACTACTAGTAGTGTAGAACTAGTACAGAACTAGTACTGTAGAATTTGCAACCTTATTTATTTTTCTTAAATTGTGTGACTAAGGATGAGTGTACCTCTTGTGAGCTCCATTGCCCTCTTATAATTGAAATAAAAAACAGCAAACTTCTTTTTTTAAATATCTTGACATTTTAATGAATGCTGCAGTTCCGCCACCACAGCCAAAGGAAAGCATAAAAGAAGTAAACACTCGAATTGGCAAACAATTAAATTTAACATGTCCAGTAGAAGGAAGTCCTATGCCTTATGTGATGTGGGTGAAGCAACCCTATATCGAGATCAGTGAAGAGATGCCAAGAGTTCATTTGTTGAATGACAACATTACTCTTGTAAGTTTATGTTCAACTTTACATACTTATTCTTTCTTTGCAGTATTTGGTTATTATAAGTTTGCACACATTAGAAGTATTACGCCAGGGTCAATTGGCAATTACAAGTTAATCATCAGTAATATTTTGTCTGATAACCTGGTAAGACATGCTGTCCGTTTTGTGACATTCCTTAGGAGGTCTTTTTTCAGCAGTAGACTTGTGAGAGGCTGTAACGCTGATGATAAATGAATATTCTGTCGAACGGGGTTCGTCTTACTGAAAATAATCGTAAAATTATTAATAACTAGCGTTCAGCCCCGGCTTCGCGTGGCTGATTTCTGGATCTCTACAATAGCTCCACCTACCAGGTTCAATCATGAATGTAAACCATCCAGACAGTTCCAGTTCCAGAGCCAGTTTCGAGTTTTAGCGAGATTGAGAATTGATTTTTATATATAGAGATATAAATATATTTATTTTATAGTAAGAAATACTGAATAGACTTGCAACGAATATTCGGCTATTATTTGGTATTCGGCCTATTCGGCTACTTTTGTTCTATTCGGTTGAACACCGAATACTTAAGTAAGAGGTTTTATTGTAGTCGGAGAATAATTGGTAAAATGAAAATATTTATTTTATAATTAATTATTTTATCTTGTAATCATTGAAGTAATCTTATGTAGATAATCAATCTCCATGTTATAAAAATTAAAAAATCTATTTTGGTATTGGATACTTGGACTGAAGGCCAAACGATATTATTTTACCATTTGTTATCTATTTCATTAACGTATACACAATAAAGAATAAATGAAGAAATTAATATCATTGCTGGTATAAAATTTCTACTTCTTCTTCTATTCAGATAATAGACACAACAGAAATAGCGGACAGCGGCAATTATTCTTGTGTAATGACGAATAAAGTTGGTGCTACCGAAGTCACTTTTAACGTTGTTATCGAAAAGCCACCAGCAATCGTCGGTAACACAGGAAACAACACAATAGAAGAGCATGTGGTTGCATTAAGAAGGAGCTTTGTTTTGAACTGCAATGTCGATGGACACCCGCCACCCAAAATTAATTGGTTAAAGGTGTGTAACATAATATTGATATTGAACTATATTAATTTTTACAATTAATTTAAAATTAGTAACGTATATAATAAGAATAAAAAGCGTCGAAAGATATATATTATTTACTGAAAATGTTAAAGTTTATGGACGATTTCCAGTTTATTAATATTCTGAACGAGTGTCGGAGCATTATTAAAGCCAAACGTCATTTTAAAATTCTTCATCTTTATAGTCAGTTCATTCATAGTAGAGAGAAATTTTCGCAATTGTCTTGCTTGGAAGGTGGATTGGTAATTGTATTAGCAGATTTCATGCATAGATGCTCTTTTCCGTCACTAATCTATGTATTTTTATAGAATAGCTACGACATGATTAAATAAGTTGATCCTTACAGCCACGACAACATTTTGTAAAAGATTATTTTAAATCAAATAACTAATAATTCTTCGAGAAGTACTAGCAAGTTTCACCGTTGACTTCAATTAATACTCTTATTTCTTATTGAACTTAATAGCAAAGCATAATCATAATACAACATATATTATATTCAATGTATTTATTAATCTTAGTTTTGTAGTCTTTTATCTTTCATTTTACTTGTATGTGATTTTTATAGATAAAGACTAGAATAATGTTATCTACAACTTTATAAATTTACGATTCGTGCTGATTACAATAATATAATTTTCAAGACGCCGCCGCAGTGTCGATAAAATAAAAAAAAACTGCGGTTGCCGATCCGCCTGCCCAGCGTGGCAACTATGGCAAATATCGCTCCTATGAGGCACATAGGGAGGCCTATTTTGTACCTATTTGGTGGCCTGTGTTCAGCAGTGGACTTTTGATACGCTGGAACGAAAGATTTTTTTTTTGTTTTCAATTTGTTACATTGAAAAATAATAGAAACATCTTGGAATTCACTTATGCTAGCTACTATTGGGAAAAAAGCGGTCGAAACAATTTTCAAGATTCCATTTTGTCCCACCAGTAGGACTTGGTGGGGAAAAGTGGAATCACTGAATCGCAGTGATTGAAACTCAACAGGACATCCAACGTGTGAGCGAGGCAGACGTGCACGTCGAGTATGTAGTGGGTGGCAGCGTGCTGGCGGTGTGGAGCGCGCGCGCGCGGCACGCCGGCCAGTACGTGTGCGTGGCGGAAAGTCAAGCCGGTGTCGACACCAGGCGATACAACATCCTCGTCAAAGGTTTGACCTCTAATATTTCATCATAATCGACCATTTAACCTTGCTACAAGTTTACTGTTGAACTTAAGACACAGGAGCATTTTTTTACTGTATAATCTATATCTACTATTACCTGTTCATGTGTTTTGTTTTTCCATAAATTAATTATTTTCAAAACCAGGAATCTTTCATAATTGCTCTTCTCTTCTAAGAGCACATGGCCAACAAAACATATTAAATTAATAATACGAGAAAAACACAGGCGTTACCACGCTTCTTTTTATTTTTCTTAAAAAAAATTGGTCCAAATTCGGAAAAGGAAGCATTGGAATACGAGATGACGATTTCGTAAATTTTTCGCAGTTAAGTATAATCAGTCCGAGCTGCATTTATTTTTTTTAAATGTTTTGCCGGACATATACCTTTTTATGTTTATTGCAATTTTAAGTGCTAATTTACCGCGTCATTGGCGATGAAGGAAATCTGATGAGCAATAAGGTGTTCTAAAATTATAATTTTGTTTGAAGTGTTCTAATATTTCATAATGAGTTCAATCCTTTGCAATTTTATAGAATATAGATAGTCAAGTTTCAATTTAATAGCTATTTATAAATAGAATATATTATCCTACTTAATTTTTAGTACAATATTATTAATAATATAATTCTACCCTTTACAAGTGTAAGATGAGTTGAATTTGCTTCGTTGTCTTCCTTCCTTTTAACTACACGTTTGCCGATTATAATAAAATTTATTTTCGCACTTAAATGTTTTGTGTGATAAACAATATTGTTCACTAATATGTTATCTTTCCTATCAGTGCCTGGCAAATGGAGTGCGTGGTCACAATGGAGCTATTGTAATGTAACCTGTGGCTTGGGATACCAAAACCGATCGAGATTTTGTCACTATGTTGACGAAAACAACAATACCATCGGTAAGTAAACCAAAAGAAGAAGAAAAAAAATACCGGCTGACTTTTTTTACCGTCTAGGAAAAAAGTTTTTGTAAATGGAGTCTACTCGCATTTCAGTGATGTTTTCTAAATCGTTTTCATTTACATAGTATGAAATTCATCTATCAATAAATATATGACAAACGAGCACATACTCCACCTGATGGTAAGTGAATGCTGTGGCATAGACTTTTACATTTATTCTTGATTAAGAATCAAAATACAGATGCGTTGTCACCCCTAAGGACTAAAATAGAATGCCTCGTTTTCATTAAAAATGGTCTACGGTTCTCTACACTACATACGAAACACAGCAGCATTAAGTTGCTATTTTACGCCGGTATTCTATGAGAGCGTGGAGCGACCAGTCCACTCCAATCGATCCGACCCATTCGTGCTACAACCATAATATCGCTGCAGGGTGACTCTACCACGTAATAAAATATTGAAAATATATCTATCACGCAATAAAATATTTAATAAAAAGATTTAAATTCAAATCATACGAACAAGTGTTGCGATTCAAAATTTTAGCTGGTTAGAAATGTACATTATATTTAACAGTGGTAGTTTACCTCTGCGTTTCGCTTGGTGAGTGCAGGTGGCCGGAGGCCCTTTTTACTGGAAATGAGGCATTCCATCTTAGTCCTCACGGGTGACAACGCATCTACATTTTGATTTGGAATAGAGGATAGATGTAGATGTCTATGGGCCGCAGCAACCGCTTACCATCATGTGGACTGTGTGCTCGTTTGTCACCCTTATCCTATAAAAAAAAATATACGTCTTGCTCGCGGATACAACTTTAATTTATGCCCTATCGCAGCCTAAGATGTTTACAATTACCTATTTTATTTGTACTCAAGTGGCGTAGGATTGTTTTGATATATTTTTTGGATATTCACCATGTAATGGCGTAAGAGAATCTTCTGTCACATATCATTCCGTAAGTGTCGTCAGAGACGACAAAGGCAAGCTGAAATAAGATACGGGCAGCAGCATCTCCTGCCTGCCTGCCACGCGTGGACAGTATCCTATGAGGCAATCTGTGACTCATGAGATATTTTCCACGCTTGGCAGGGAGTATGGCAACCGCAATTGCCTATGTTCAGCAGTGGACCTTTATAGTTGTAGTGAGGTAACGTGATTTTGTAATTTTTACTAAACAAATTCTATTTGGTCTAATTTGTAATTGGTACTAAAAAAATATTCTCGATAATAGCTTCCATTCCACTTACCACGACATACTACTGTAGTACTTCTCTACTAATTGTGTCCTGAACGAAACAGAACAAAGAAGAAGTAAGCTGTTATTTTACTCGTAGATCTCAATGAATGTTATATAGAAACTAGTATTTTTTAAATTAATCTTCTGAGGTCAATAGTTAATATAAGACTGAACGTGTGCATGACTGAGTTAACATTTGTGACCAAAGAGTATATAACCACTACCTTGATGTGGCCCTTACTGAAGGAATGTCAAACAACATGATATAGTATTCAGCAGTAAAAGAAGTAGTAACATTAACGGATACAATTTTCCGTCAATCATTGATATCTACATTAATTTATACAAACAATATTTTTGTCGCATTTTAGATACTACATCTACCTCGGAAAAGCTCTTATTAGATGAGACAGCATGCAAAGGTTCAACTATTGACAGAAGGAAATGTCATATGCCACCTTGTGAGGTAAGTCAAAATTCTAAGATGTTCAAAATCTTGGAAATTCGCAGTTCATTATTTATTACAATAAAAAATAATTTTACAATCTACTGTCCAAATATAGTTTGTTTTATTTAAACCAATTTAAATTATGAGTTGATGAAAAAACAGAAACAGTGTAGGTTTTGAAAAATATTACCTAAGTATAATGTACTTGTTGCATATTTAACTACTTTTCAAAGTAGTTGAAATTGACCGGAAGAATGTTGTAGAATGTAGATGTTCATGGGCGACGGTGGTTACTTACCATTAAGTGGGTCATATGCTCGTTTGCCCCTCTTTTATAAAAAAAAAATTACCTTCAATTCTACGTCCCTTTAGGCAGTACCTAAAAGATATTTTTATGCAGTACTTACGAGAAATTTCGAATATTATTATTATTTTATGATGTCCTTATAAATGAGCATATCAAAAGTCAAACCCTTAGCCATAATCTGTAATGGTCCGAGAGTTCATGACGCATTTTTTTGATTCAAATAATAATAATGACTATGTGTCAGCTAAGTAGATAAAGAATTAAGAAAAATGGCAGACACTTCTGAAGGGGATGACATAGGGACAAACGACCCCAAAGTTGTAATTTCAGAAATTCCATAAAAGTGTTTGATTTAATCTCCCATTTTTACAGCGTGTTTATTATATATCATAAAAATCTCACAAAAGGGCAGACAGTTTCTCCGGGGTTAATAATTTAAAAATATTTAAATAAGTCTGATCTACGCACTGGTTACACGCTTTACCACCAAGTAATTTCGCCATATTACTTGATGGGGAAAGCTTGCGCATCGCCGTAGGAATCCGACTAGAAACGGCGATTTGCAACCCCATCAGTGCCCCTGTCAGTCAATCAAATACCTGCTTATTGAGTGGACTGATACTTTTCAACAAAGTTTCATGATGCACTCAAACACTTCATGAAAAATGATTCATGAACTCTTGAACTATAAATAGGAACAGGATTTTCTAAAAAATTTTACGGTGATTTCGATGATTGTGACGAGGTAATGTGAATCTAGGAGGAAGAAAGCTGGTCTGTTTGGTCACGCTGGTCGGCGTGTTCTGCGACGTGCGGCGCGGGCACGCAAGTGCGTCGCCGCCGCTGTCGTGTGCGAGGGCGCTGCCCGCCCAACGACGTGCAGGTAATGTGCTTAGCGCTCTTTGTTAGATGTACCCGTAACGAGCGAGACGCCTGCTCACGAGGAAACGACCACGCTCTCATACTGCGGCCACAGTAATGCTAGGGCCACAGTAACGGGAAACGTCAATGCCCATAAACACAACAATTATTGCTTTTAATTTATATGGCTATACTTGAACGGTCAACGTCATTTCAATTTCAATGCCATTAAAGTTGGCGTTAATGTTCCTTGAATTTCAAGCAAGATGGACGTTGGCGCTGATACTCTATATTTGATGAGTGTAAATTTTTGCTTAATGGCTTAATGGCTTAATATCAAGGCAAACTCTATCCATCCATCCATTACAGCCTATATAAGTCCACTGCTGAACATAGACATATCCTATAGATAGCCTCATAAGGGGGATTTAACCATAGTTGCCACGCTTAACAGTTGGGTTGGCAACCACAATTTTTATATTTTTAAGTTGTTATCAGAAAGATGATGCTACCCATCTCCTATTTAAATTTCTTTCTTTCGCCTCACGACATACAACGACGACTTACACACGCAAGATGATATGGGTTATTGTATGTTCTTATACTTACTGTCACTACACGGTAAAACCGGCGAACATTAGTATATATTATTGTATTATATTAGTAACGCCGCATAGGGCAAACGATTTCCATCAGATTTACACAATCGCACTACGGATAAATCAGTTCACATAGTGGCATTATTATATAATATTGTATTTTTACCACAAGCAACACTGACTAACCATGTAATATCAAAAATAAAATTTAAAAATAAGAAATACAATAAATATTTTTTATTAATTAAGCTAATTTTAAAACAGCATGCATTCATTGTCATGACAGATTAGAAAATGTCCAAACTTACCGAGATGTGTTCTTGGGCAGCGGCATGATGAACTGTACAGCAGCCAGGAGAATAATGAAACTGTGAGTAACTTTTACTGATACTAATACGTCAGATATCCTAAAGATACAAAATTATGTGTACAAGTCTATAAAAGTATATATATATATATATATATATACAAATTTTTATTAATAAATTATATATTGTAGTGATTCATACGGTTTTAATACGAGTACATCACTTCAGTTCATGACTAACACAGCAGTACATATAACAAATCGCATGCAAATACCGTATAACATCAATAATATAATTTTATCGCCCTGGTCTTCAGCACAATATTGTATTACGCTTAATTATTTTTTATTCTAATTTATCTATTTAATGATTTGACCTCCATGGTGGGACTACTCCGGAGGCGTGGAGCAGAAGTGCGGTGGTCTTGATCTTTAAGAAAGGCGAAAACGCTTCCCTGAAGAACTACAGACCGATTTACCTTCTGAGCCGCGTCTACGTTTTCGAGAGTCATTACGAATCGTCTCGCACGTACACTCAACGACTTCCAGCCTCCAGGAAAAGCCGGTTTCAGAAAAGGCTTTAACACCATAGACAACATACATACCCTTCGGCAAATTTTACACAAAACCGAAGAGCACAATCTGCCACTTTGCCTTGCATATGTGGACTATGAGAAAGCCTTTGATTCAGTCGAAATTTGGGCGGCGTGTGTGCGTGTTGCCAATGATGATTTATGGATCTGAGACGTGGTCCTTCACTGCTGGCATTATGAGGACGCTCAAGGTTGCTCAGTGAGCTATGGAGAGGGCTATGCTCGGGGTTTCTCTGCGTGATAAACTTAGAAATGGGGATATCCGCAGTAGAACCAGAGTGACTGACATAGCCCAACGGATTAGTAAGCTGACGTGGCGATGGGCCGGCCATATAGCTCGAAGAACCGACAACCGATAGGGAAGAAAGGTTCTCGAGAGGCAGCCTCGTACCGGTAGACAAAGTGTAGGGCGACCTCCCACTAGATGGAGTGACAACCTGGTAAGACATGCAGGTAGCCGATGGATGCAGGTGGCTCAGGACCGTGCTTTGTGGCATTCCTTGGGGTAGGCCTATATTCAGCAGTGGACTTGTGAAGGGCTGTAATGATGTTGATGAATAATTTGACACTAATATGATCCGGCTCTAAAGACCATATGTAAAGGTCCTTAAGAATGAGGGCATCCACGACTTTTTATGCCACCAGGGCGGCGCCACTTTAGAGTGAGGTAAAATATTTGACAGATTTCATAGCGGGGACGATAATTTCTTAGGAAAATGTAATCTTTAAGGTTTCTTTCTGTATTATTAGTTATATTTTATTTTAATTACATTAGAAATGAATAAACTAAACTATAAATATAACTAAAAGACTACTTTAAAAAAAAAGAGTTATAATGTGCAAAAAATTAAAAATCAAACCACTGACGCATTGTGTTATATATTAATATAATACTCTAGATAATGATAAACTATTATTTAAAACTAATTTCTCAATTAAATGACACTGTGTAACAAAAAATTTTACCTCAGTCGCTACTAGCGACATCTGGTGAGTGGAAGATTATTAGCCCTCATTCCTTAAAAATGAAGCGTAGAAGACATTATCAATAAAGGAGAGCAGAGACAGAAATAAGTTTTTGCAGGAACCTCAAGACCATCGGATGGCTGCTTTTGTTTTATAGTATAAATACTGGTTTTGATACGTACTAAAATCCACTTCGAACCATAAAACAAGCGCAGCAATTCGCCGGCGGTCAAGCTCCCGCCAAAACACCTTTTGTTTATTGGCCACTGGAGAATTATTATTTTTCTCTTTTCAGAGTATCTACATGCCCGAGGCAACTATTGAGATGCAGCCTGAAGAAATAGACAACCGAAGATCATTGGATTTTGATGAATTCAATTCCCCCGCTCGTAAATAATTATTTTGCTTTATTTTATAGTACGTTACTACCCTAGTTCAATCTACGAGAACCGTGAAGGATCTTTAGGAAACCTGTGTCCCTTTATTTTTTATTGCAATTAAAATTATTTTGAAGTTTGGCACACGATCAACGGGTTTCTTATTGTGAGAGAGATAAACAATAGAGTAAGAGTGATAGATGTAAAGGAAGTTTCCTTAAGTTTCTTGGTTTTTGTCCCGTGTTTAGATACCCTCGACATCAGATGTGCTTATTTCAGTTCTCGTGGCTTATCTTCGATTTACGACCACTCGGCATTCCTATTGGACTATTCGAATTGCACGCCTCATAACGCGAAGCGTTATAGGTGTGTTTTACTCTTGACACGTCAAGGTCAAGCAATTTTGTGTTCTTAAAAGGCCTCTATAATAACCATATTTCACTTATACGATAATATAAGTAGCCATATAGCAAGAAAACGCTCGAATTAATCCATTTTATATGTTCTAAAAATCATTTAATATTTCTACTTTGAAAAAAACGCTTTGCAAAAAATTTTACGTGGACGTCCGGATGTTAATTTTGTATGTGGTCACGATAACCTTCGAAAAAATTGACGTATCGAGACCGGTTTTTTTTTTCATTAGTTTCAGAATAACATTAACTGGTTCCCTATTACATATCAATAGCCTAGTAGTATGCGTAATTTGTTAATAAAACGATTTACAAGTTTTATTGTAATTAAAAAATTAAAGGCGCTTTCATATTTTTTTAGCCCTTGAAAGACAAAGGATAAATGTACCATACAGCCTATATCCTATGTCGATTTTATACTTGTTAATCGTGTAATCGATTTATTTTGGTAAACATTTCTTTTTTCCGTGTAGGTGATACTGCCTGTTAAAATAATAGAGCGAAAGCACGTAAATAATGTAATTTAAAGTTAGGAATACAATTTATTTTATTTATCTAAACTAAATGAAACACTCATGAGGCGTGCACTTTGGAATTTTCCAAACTAATCTACATTACGATTGGACTGTTGTTTGGTGATATTTACAACAAGTCGGCATTCTACTGGATAGCGACTGCCATTCTGCATGCTAAGTGCGGCAATTATGGCCGCCCGTACAAATACGTATGGTGGTACAAATCCATGTATGGCCGTTTATGTGTTGATGATTGGGCCATTTGCAAAATTGAAACTGAAACTCTAGAGACCAACTTTTTGAAAAAAAGACAGGAAAACATGTTTATGCGAATAAACATGTTCCTTCTTGCTGCAATTACTTGACAAAAAAAATTTAATAACAAAATAATCTTAATAACAAAATAATTATAACAGCAAGTTTCGCACTGGATTGCATCTACAAGTGGTAAAATTAAAAAATTTGTACAACCGACTTCATTATAAATTATTAAGGATTATTCAAAAACTACTGGACATAACTTGATCAAATTTATATGGAATCAGACGAGAAGCACCGGCTTTTAAATAAAAAAAGAATCGTCGGAATCGGTTCACCAACAAAAAAGTTATGACTGATCACTGACTTATGGTGATGGTAACATACGTTAAAAAAGAAGAAAAAACATAAAGTCAAATATTGAATCCTTTTTGAAGTCGGTAGAAAAGGCTACCAACTCAGCATAATGCAGTAACAAAGTTACCGCAGTGTTGATATTCTGTCAAAGCTGCTTATTGTTTTCTCGCGAGGAATCGCCCGATATAATTTATTAATTATTTTATCACAATCAATGTATTTAAACAAAGTTCATATTTAATTTTTTAAGACTTTAGACTTAGACGGAGAATTTTTTTTTCAGGTACGAAATCTCATATTTACTTCGAAGTGAACGTGACTGAGAACTTGGACCACAGTGAGAGAGGACCGTGCAGAGCTGGATTTCGATACAACGCCATTGACGACACATGCGAAGGTAGGCCAATTAATCTTCTGCGGAATATAGGCCTAGGATATTCTTATTTCTAAAAATAATTTAATTAGAAGCAAAAAAAACAAGCACACATGAACTAGAATTCGTCGTCACAACTGAAGAAAGGGACCGCAAATTTTGAAAACACTTGTTTTTGAATTTAAAAAAATCTAATTTGAGAGTTCACATGGTCTATCAATATGATGTTTGATTTTTAAGGGAATCGGTCCAAAAACGATAGTTTTCAAAATGGCGGTCCTTTTCATATATGTTTTGGTAATCAGGTTCACTTTTTTCATAGGGACTGATCACAGAAACAATGTGTAAATGGTACTCAGGTACCAAACGGTGGTTCATTTGCTACTGAACTTTTTTGAGCTCACTCACACATCATCACTCACACATACTCATTACAATATAGCTCGAACAGAGAGAGAAATATCGCCAATTTCTTGACTGCGTGTCTCTACTGATATTTTTTGACAGGAGAACCAGATCTAATGACAGTATAAAGTCCGTTTATATTTTTTAAACGCAGACGTGGACGAGTGCTCGATCGTGAACAACCGGTGCCACGCGACGCAGGTGTGCAGCAACGTGGCGGGCGCGTATCGCTGCAGCTGCCCGCACGGCTTCGTGGCACTCGCCGCCGGACAGCGCTGCCTAGGTACCCACACCTCATCACCATCATCATCATCGTCACATGATAAAACTTGACCGCCGCTGGATTACTGCTCCTGTTTTATCTTTTAAATAATGGTTTGAAGCGAATTTAATACATAACTGGAACGCTATAACTAGTATTGGAAACGATAAATCAAGTGCTTGTATCGTAAGATACTACACTATAAACTTCAATTGTCTGCTGACTAACGCTGATGTCAAAATCTCCCAAAAACTCGCGATGTGACACATCACTCAAATTATGTAGTTATAATGTTGCAACAACATTACACATGATGATGTCGTTTTCCTTTCTGGAATTCTTGTGATTCTGACTGAATGATATCTCATGTCCGATTATATCGCAGAGGCAATACATCGGATGGGTTTAAGTACCGGTCGGCTTTGCTTGCGTACCGGTACGCCCGTTTAGGAGTGTCGCCAGAAAACAAGATATTACTCGGTACTATTTTGAAATATTGGGAAATATTGTCTGACGCTTTAAGTAAAATTGAATTCTAATAAGCATGTGATTGCTTTCCATCACGATTTTAATTGAATTATATGTAAGGAGAATTCAATAATGAATTTAATGATATAAATCATTAAATTCAACAAGGACCGTAAAAAAACAATAATAAAGGTAAATATTTATCAGTACAGTACGGTACAGTATCTACGTAACGTAAGTAACGGGACGGTTGAATTAACAGAACCAACGTATAATTTTAACCTATTTTATTTATTCTGTTCAACCCCTATCCAATATTTTAAGCGGAATAACTGCGATACTGCTGTATAGGTAAAATATAGTAAAATTAGGTAGGTACCTACTAGCACAAGCCTTTGTTTTCATCGCGCCGAATCAGGTGAAGCTGCGGAACGCAACTAGTTTCGTAAAGTAGTGATTATTATATTATGATATTGTTATCTAAGGAAATGTTTTTGTTACAACTCTTGTCCGTATTATTGTCCGTCCGATATTATGCCGTTCACGAATGAATCATCAGTCTCTCTCTTCCCTACGTAGATATAAACGAGTGCGAGCAGGAGGTGCACGGGTGCGAGTTCGCGTGTGTGAACGTGGCAGGTGGGTACGTGTGCGCCTGCCCGCGACACCTGCGTCTGCACCGCGACCGACACCACTGTGTTACACGTATGTAGAATATTTTCATAACTAGCATTGTTATCTGGGAAAGACTTTAGGAGTGGTGGGGAGGGGAAGAAGCAATCGATTAACCCGATCATTATAATAAAACAATCGCTTAAACACATCAATCACTAATAAAAAACTAGATACACAATCAGTGACTATTAATGTCCTAATGAATGAGCGCCCACTCGAACATTTGGGTGCGCTTTTAATTTGTACGGAGCTTTGTGAATACAAATTTAGGCAGTGCATTTAAGGTTGAATTTTTTACAACTATTTATAGAATACGAATGAATATTAATTACGTCAACAACTAGCAACAATTTTTAGACAACTTGTGCATGGGATTATGTATCTAGTTTTTTATTAGTGATCGAAGCTTAAACATCATAATCATAGCTTTTTTAACAGTCCATTTGGAAGTTATGAAATAAACTTTAATATATCTCTCTCTACGTTTGAGAACCACAAAGTCTGATTTGACTGTTCTTATGATTTGAGAACAGATGATTAGTGTTGCCCAAAATCGGTCTTGGTCTTGCAGTCTTGGTCTTGTTCTTGCATTTTTGCAAGACCAAGACCAAGAACAAGACTGCCTCTTTCTAGCAAGACCAAGACCAAGACTGACCGTGAAAGATTTGCGCAAGAACAAGACTAAGCTTGCGAGACTCTTGCGTCTTGCAGTTAGGACTAAGTGTCGTTTCAGGGAGTATAGGAGTTCGGGTATACGCTTAGGGACTCTATGAGACGCAAAAAAATATAATTAAAAAAAATTGGAAAATTGGACTTACGCGCATTACGAATAATACCATAAATCTACATAGCGAATGAAAATATCCATTAAAAGAAAAAAGAGTGCATCCCTAGTTTTGACCATCGGCACTTTGATAGTGCGCGGCGTATTGTTGTCGGCGTCGTCAAAGGTCGGATATTGACCTGTCAAAGAAATTGTGCAGCTACTTGAAAGTACAAGGTCAAGATACACGTCCCGACGGCTACTATTGATATTGCATACAATCGTCGCCACCGCACCGCACGCACTACATTTAACACTGTTTGATTGCCGCCACAGAGTACATGTTTCAAAGAATAAAATAAGTTTCCGGGTGCTCAGAATGGACACGAATACATTATCCTGATCTCGCAAGAAATATTGTAATTAGATAATAGATAAATATCATAATAATTTATTCTAGTAACTAATTATTATAAAATTAACTATATGGATTTATAATAATTACTTACTATTATTGTTATTATTATTACCTAAAAGATAAACATGTTCAGTAAGTTCACTGCAAATCTCGACTTTTGCAAGTGTGTGTTTTTAAAACACAAAGTGCTCGAATATGTCGTCACACATTTGATAAATATGGTTAACACCATAACACTTTTAAAACACTTCAAATGTGTAAAAATGGATTTGGATCTTGTCTTCAAGGCTTAGTTATTAAGGAGTTGAAGGAGTACCTAGGTAAACCCAGAGCCGTCATCTCGGAAGACATTTTAGACTGTTGGAGGACGCATGAGACAAAATATCCGATTTTATCGAAGATGGCCCGTGATTTTCTTTTAATACCTGCAACTTCAGTACCTGCTGAGAGATTATTTTCTAAAGCATCATTAGTAATTAGAAAACATAGAAATAGGTTAAGTGAAGAGTCAGCCAGATGTTTACTTTGTATTAATGCTTTGTGAAAAGAATAAATTTGAATGACAAGCTCGTGGAAACTGTCCATGCGGTCGGAGCTAAGTTCTGCAAGACCCGCCGCAGAAGAACACAAAAACTCTCCGATCACACTCTTAATCTCATGACTGTTAGACGGGAGATGAAGCTACATTCTTCAACAGATTTGACAGCATACAGGCAACTGAACAGACAGATCTCCAAATGCATGCGGCGGGACTTACGCAACTTCAATACAGCTCGTATTGAAGAAGCGATCGAGCGGAACCAAGGCTCCAAAGTCTTTGCCAGAGATCTGTCTGCCAGAAAGAGCCAACTGTCAAAGCTGAAGACCGAATGTGGCAGCGTCGTTTCCGGGGCACCTGAGATTTTGAGTGAGATTGAGAGGTTCTATGGGCAGCTGTACACGTCATCGTTGGAGCCGTACTCAAGTGTGAGTAACGATCCAAGAGCGAGTCTTATCCGACATTATTCCGATGATATCCTGGACGTCAGTCTGAGCGAGATTAGAATGGCTCTCCAGCACCTTAAAAACGGCAAGGCCCCAGGCGAGGATGGAATTACAGCGGAGCTTCTGAAAGCTGGTGGAAAACCGATACTTGAAGTCCTTCAGAAGCTCTTTAATTCCGTCCTCCATGGTGGCATTACACCGGAGGCGTGGAGCAGAAGTGCGGTGGTCTTGTTCTTCAAGAAAGGCGACAACGCTCTTCTGAAGAACTACAGACCAATTTCCCTTCTGAGCTGCGTCTACGTGCTGTTTTCGAGAGTCATTACGAATCGTCTCGCGCGCAGACTTGACGACTTTCAGCCTCCCGAACAAGCCGGTTTCCGAAAAGGCTTTAGCACCATAGACCACATACATACCCTTTGGCAAATTGTACAGAAGTCCGAGGAGTACAATTTGCCACTATGTCTGGCGTATGTGGACTATGAGAAAGCCTTTGATTCCGTCGAAATTTGGGCGGTGTTGCAGTCCCTTCAGCGATGCCAAGTTGACTGTCGGTATATCGAAGTGTTGAAGTGCTTGTACAGTAGGGCTACGATGGCTATCCGAGTACAGAACCAGAGTACGAAACCTATCCAATTGCAGAGAGGTGTAAGACAGGGTGACGTCATATCCCCGAAACTCCTTACCGCTGCATTGGAAGATGTTTTCAAGCTTCTGGACTGGAAAGGATACGGTATCAACATCAATGGCGAGTACATCACTCACCTTCGATTTGCCGACGATATAGTCTTTATGGCAAAATCGCTGGAGGACCTAAGCACTATGCTCAATGACCTCAATAGTGCTTCCCAACGGATAGGTCTTAAGATGAACATGGACAAAACAAAGATCATGTTTAATGTCCATGTCACACCTATGCCGGTAGTTGTTGGGAACACTAAGCTCGAAGTTGTTGACGAGTATGTTTACCTGGGACAAATAGTCCGACTAGGTAAGTCCAACTTCGACCGAGAGTTCAATCGACGGATTCAACTCGGTTGGGCAGCGTTCGGGAAATTCCGGCACATCTTCTCGTCAGGTATACCTCAAAACTTGAAAACGAGACTGTACACCCAGTGCGTGTTGCCAGTGATGACATACGGAACTGAGACGTGGTCCTTCACTGCAGGCCGGATGAGGAAGCTCAAGGTCGCTCAGCGAGCTATGGAGAGGGCTATACTCGGAGTTTCTCTGCGTGATAAACTCAGAAATGAGGATATCCGCAGTAGAACCAGAGTGACCGACATAGCCCAACGGATTAGTAAGCTGAAGTGGCAATGGGCCGGTCATATAGCTCGAAGAACCGACAACCGATGGGGAAGAAAGGTTCTCGAGTGGCAGCCTCGTACCGGCAGGCGAAGTGTAGGGCGTCCCCCCACTAGATGGAGTGACGACCTGATAAGACATGCAGGAAGTCGATGGATGCAGGTGGCTCAGGACCGTGCTTTGTGGCATTCTTTGGGGGAGGCCTATGTTCAGCAGTGGACTTGTGAAGGGCTGTAATGATGATGATGATGATGAAAAGAATAAATATGAAGTAACAGTAATGTCAAAGCTGTTGTGTACATACTGTGAAGTAATTTAATTTGCATCGTATTTTATTTTTTATTTAAATAAATCGTATATTGTATAACTCTTTTATTTCATTTCATATATGGTGAGGGTCCATCAATCTCTTTCTAGAGAGATAATGTTATTTAAAATACCGTGTAGTTATTGCCATTAATTTGTTTTTATATGTATGTTTAACCATGTTTTAGCAGAAGTAAGTTTATTAAATGTAAACGTTTATTAAGAAACTGACGCCCGTGGCCGTGGGACACTCAGTTGGTTGGAGCATCGGCACGGATCGCTTAGGTCGTGGGTTCAAACCCCACCCGGTGTCAGTTGATTTTTCGAATTTCTCATTAAATGTTTAGACATTTATTAATATGGTTGGTCTTTACTATGGCTATGTTAATTCAAGCTCAATATGTACCTACTCTGTTAAGTTGTTCTAAGATCTAAAGTAACGTTTAATAAATAGTAATAGGCTAATAGGTCATTGCGAGACTTGCGAGACTCTTGTTGCAAGACCAAGACCAAGACTCGGAGCGCAATACCAAGACCAAGACCAAGACCAGGTGTATTGGCTCAAGACCAAGACCAAGACTTGCTAAGTCTCGTCTTGTTCTTGCATTTGGGCAACACTACAGATGATGCTATCAGATCGAAACCAATTCACGCGTACTAATAAGCCCAGGTTTATTTCAAATTTAATATAGTAGTTTTTTTTTTATTGAACTGAATGCACCTGACATTGTTTTTTAAATTAGGTACATTAGATCGCACTTATCTGTGGGAAAATATACCTACATTCTGGATGACGAAATTACATATACGTTGCATCTGTCTCTCTCGTTGCTCATCTAAAAGACAGAGATGGTGTGGAATATTAGTGTGAGAATATTGCGAGTCTGCTCTACGACACTGAGCACTTAAATAACTACTTTCAAATGGAATACAATTTCATGCAGTGCAATGTTCAAAATATGATGTTATATACATTTTTATATAGGTACTTTTTCTTTTTGCAGCATCGCTATATCCGAAACCTCTTCCATATTACGAGAATTTTGATTCCGAAGATTATATGAATGCCGCCTTCGACTTTCCAGCGAGGTACCCCAAGTACCCCCGATACTAATTTAGTTATTATTGTATGTTATTGCCTTTAGTTCAAATTTCATATACCTATTTATTTTTAGTTTTTGTTTTTATTTGTAGAGAGCTTTAAATACCTTATTACTTTTAGGTTATGATTTAGTTTGTAGTGTTTGTAGAATATGTTTTAATATGAAATAAAAAATAATTATAAAGATGTAGATTAATTTATTTGTGAGTGCAATTTTTACATTTCAAATGTTACCAGAACATAATTATTAGACGTTTTACTTTTTGTATCTGTGCGTTCATGTGATACCAATTTAAAGACATAATTGGTTATTGTTATGTAACAAATAAGTTCGGCAGATAAATGCTCACTATTAGTTTCATTACACGTCAGCAACCAGAGTATGATTCCCGCCGGCACCGACGAAATTGTTAATTGCAGTTTCTAGTGCTAATTTACTACGTACTCGCCGATTAAACAAAACATCGTTAGGAAACCTATATCTTTTAAAAATATTAAATGTCGAGGACAACATCCCGACAACGGGAGAGGCCCATGTCCAGCAGTAGTCTTTTAACGGGCTGATGAAGAGGAAGAAATAGATTTTTTTAATTACTGCTGCTGGCGTAAAGCTGACCACACATTTGTCCGCACCGTACGCGCCGTACGCGCTGAATTTTACTGACGGCCTCGCTCATTTGCATGTACGCATCGCGCATCGTCCACGCCATGCGTACGCAAATCTTTTGTATTGCCAACAACTTTTGCAGTTTTTACCAACCACTGGTGTGAAACGGTATAGTGACATTGATTGCTCGAAATCACTATGGAAAAAAATAGCAATAGGCTGCTTATTGACTTAGGAAGAAGAAAATAAAATTCGAAGAAAAAGAAGCTTCTGGATTCATAGTATTTATTTAAAAAGGCAATTGTATGGAGAATATTATACTTTATTTAAAAACTTATTAGATTATGATGATAAACGATTTTTTAGATATTTGCATTTAATTGTATGTTAGAAGAACTTGTATGTTACAAGAAATTTCAAGAATTGCTACATATACAAAAATATATCTTTCTATGGAAAACTCAAGATTTAGAAGGACAATTGAACCAGAGAAAAGACTTGTTGTAAGTTTGAGGTAAGTATTTTATTGAGAATTAAGTAACCAGGTATAATTGGGTTTTTGAATTAAAATTAACTATCAATGTTTTTTTTTAGTTCAGTGTTTAAATAATTAATTACTAAGTATTCATATTGATAATCGATGCAAAAAAATCATATTATGTATAATTAATTACGAATTAATTAAAGGTTATAAAAATACAAAAATTATCACGTAAATCAAAGCCACCTGATTTTGTGGAAAATCCACTAAGTTGGCAACATTAGAAAACACTGAGTATCAGCACGCGTTGAACGCGGCGCGTTATGTGACGTCATAAGCATGTTTCCTTTAATATTCGGATACCTACCGCATTTTATATAATTCGGCGCGTACGGGCGTAATGTGCGATGTTTCATATTAAGATTTCATACAACTAATTTAAAAATAAAAAAAATACGGCACGTACGGCGCGGACAAATGTGCGTTCAGCTTTAAGAGTCCATCGCCCAGTTTCGTCCCATGTACGTGTAGGATGTTATTCTTTTATAATACTGAAGTGACAAAAGAACTTAATCTTCCTGTTAGTAGGTAGTTTCTACAGTTCATTGACACTTGCAGCCAATTCTAAACAAATATGTCTACAAATGTGCTGTCATCTTGAGGACTAAGGTGGAATGCCTTGCAGCCAGTAATTATACGGACTCTATATTCTTCAAATCGGAATACAGCAGTGCACTGTTATTTGACGGCAGAAATAGGTAAAATGGTTTTACCTACCCAGACGGACTTGTAAGCAGAAAAGTAGTCCTACACCACCTAGTAGGTGACTATGTGATATGCCAAAAGTTCTTAGTTCTTATGGCTTTTGATAGATGGCGCTTTATGTAAAAACGCTTAGTAAGAACCGTAAAATACACAGACCGACGACAGAAAGCAGCGTCAAAATTGCTGAAAATCTGGCACTGCGATTGTCGCCTGCCATGCGTGAAGAGTAAGGCAAAATGTCTCTATAGTAGGACAGGTCCACGTCCAGCTATGGGCATGGACCTATCTGTCTACGGGCCGATTAAAAGAAAATATTTAGTTAAAGTATTATGCGTGATAAAGTGCTAATTTATATTTATAGTGATAACCTCAGTGCATGATTATATTTTTAATATTTAACAATTTTATTTTTTACATTTACTATTTAACGAATAGCTACTTAAATATTATCTGTGCCTACATAGATCTATACAAATAACAATTTATTTGCAATTTGAAACTAGCAACACTAACGATTCATCGCACCTATTTAACGTGCATAGTAAAAATAATATGCGAATTGTCAGTGTTCTTTGTGTATCATTAAGACTACAAAATATTTTTTCTACTATGTAGCAATCGGAGGAAGACGGTCTTTGCAAAATATTTTCTTTATCGGTCCTCGGTTTGGGTCCAAAATTCTCTCGTCGTTCTTGCGGGGAATATGCCTGGAATGAAATGCCAATACCACGCGTAAGTTTCTTAGTACAGCCAATTTGGTAATTATATGGTATTATTAGATCTCTTCTTTAAGAAAACGCCATTTTTTTAAATTCAAGTAGTGGCGGCGTTAGAAACCTACTACTCGTACCCCACGTTATCCCGTGGGTCTCGTAAGAGGCATCGAAAGAAGCATCTTCCTAGTAACAACTTGTTATAATAAAAAAACTGCAGTTGTCAACCTGCCTTAGTAATACTGTACAACACGCTTGTCAAGTGTTGCAACTATTACAATATTTACAAATAATCTCCCTATTAGGCAATCTATGAGGGAGGCCGATGTTCAGCAGTGGACTATAGATAGATGTTAAAAAATTGTAATAAATAGAGAATTGCGGCGAATGTTTCCGATTATGATAAAATATATAAATTAAGATAAATTTTGAATGATATAATAGAAAAACACGTACCTACTAAAACTATTAAATTTAACACTAAGTACCCGATATGGTATAACAGGGCATTGATTAAAACTATAAATGAAAAATTAAAATTTCATCGCAAGTGGAAGGTTTATAAACAGGATAGTGATTACAATTCTTTTGCCGTACTAAGAGAGAGACAAAAGTTAATGGAGAACGATTGTTATAACAAATTTATCAATAATGCTGAATATAGAATTGGTATTAATAGTAAATTCTTTTGGTCGTTCGTAAAATCAAAACGTAAATGTAAAGATCTTCCAGACATAATGTTTCTAGATGATTATACGACTTCGGATCCTGTGTTAATATGTGATTTATTTAATGCTCATTTTAGCTCAGCTTTTAGTGTTAATAGTCCAAATCATAATGCTCAGATTTCTACCTCGGCTCAGTTGATCAGTATAAATTCGATCACATTTACAGTCCGTCAGGTTTCTATGTATTTAAAACGCTTGGATATCAGTAAGGGACCAGGACCTGATGGCATCCCACCCTTGTTTTTACAAAGATGTTACCGTCAATTGGCTAAACCACTAGCAATTTTGTTCAGAACTTCTATGAAGTTGGGCGAAATGCCTTTACAATGGAAAAAATCATTCGTAACTCCCATATTTAAAAGTGGTAATAAGCACGATATTTCAAATTACCGTCCTATTTCAAAATTAAGCTCGATTCCAAAACTATTTGAGAAAATTATTTATGACGCACTCTCTCAAATAATTCGACCAATTATAATTCCTGAACAACATGGTTTTATAAGTCGAAAGTCTACAGAAAGTAATCTCTGCGAATTTCTTGATCATCTTTATACTGCTATGGACAGCGGACTGCAGGTAGATGCAGTGTACACCGATTATACAAAAGCATTTGACAAAATTTCACATGATATTTTGATACATAAATTAGATCAAATCGGTGTACATGGTGATTTACTTCGATGGATATCCTCTTATCTTAGAAATCGTAGTCAGGCGGTTGCAATAAAGGGATACTGTTCATCATTTCTCCCAGTTTCATCAGGTGTTCCTCAGGGTTCTCATCTTGGTCCACTACTGTTTATAATATTTATAAACGATGTTATATCCTGCTTCCGTAATTCCAAAATTCTTCTTTTTGCAGATGATATGAAAATTTTCAGGTCTATTAAAACTATAGAGGACTGCCATCTACTTCAAGAAGATCTATGTAGGCTTAGTGCATATTGTCAAGTAAATGATCTTTGCTTGAACATTAAGAAATGTAACATTATCTCATTTACCAGGAAAAAGAATCCTATCCTCTTTGATTATAAGCTTGATGATAATTTACTAATGAGAGTTAATGAACTGCGTGATCTTGGTGTTCAGTTGGATAGTAAGTTGTTACTGAGATCACATATTAATATCATAACTAAAAGAGCTTATAAAATGCTAGGTTTCGTTATGCGTATCTCAAAAGATTTTAAAAAGTCTTCAACAGTTATCTTACTATTTAACACTCTGGTGCGGTCTATTCTTGAGTATTGTTCTTCATGTTGGAATCCTCAATACAAAGTTTATATTAAAATGATTGAAACAATCTACAATAAGTTTCTGCGTCACTTAAAGCGATATAATTCTTCTGTAGACTCCATTATTGATAATTTAGGCAGCAATACCCTCGAGAAACGCCGTGATATAAGAGATCAAATGTTGTTGTACAAATTGCTTCATAATATCATCGACTCTCCCCTACTTTTAGGCAAAGTGAATCTTGCGTGTCATAGGTTAGGTGCACGAAATAAACCTCTTTTTGCATTACCTAAAGTTAAAACAAGGTATGCCTCAAATAATTTTGTATCTCGTACATGCAAAAAGTTTAACTTAAAATATTGTAAATTAGATATATTTCACCTTGAATATGATAGTTACAAAGAAAATATTGTAAAACTTAATATATAATTGGTAGTTTCACTTTGAGTTGTATATATGTATAATGTTACTTTTAACTACTTACTACTTAATGTTTTAATTTATGAATACCATTTAGCTAGTTTTATTCTTTTATATTTTAATTTTATACAACATAATATTGTGGTGGCAAGCTTTTATTATGTATTAGATATCTGTGGAAACTTCATTGGTTCTTAGGATTACTTTTATATGTTTTATTGTGTAATTTATTATTATACTGTATGTTTCCCTTAAAAAGCAAATAAATAAAAATAAATGATACAGGATCCAATATTAAGAATTAATCATCCAATTTAGTATTCCTCTCATGCTATGCCGTTTTAACTGACTAAGGCAAGCTTCGGCGTGAGTTTACTGTTGTCCTTCAGTGAGTTCATATAGTACGCACTTTCGGAGAAGTTTTCCACTTTATCGTACAGCAATCGATATCGTTTATATAAATAGGAAACAAATTTAACTTACTGCCAAAACGAGCCGTTCTTCTGGAGGCGCATTATATTGTTATGGCATATCATTAGCTCGTTCTGTAAGTACGTTCTTTGATCGTTCACTCGGACGAAAAGCTGAAATTTTAAATGATATTTTATTTAAATGTTGACCACGTCGTCAAGACTCGGACACCTTTCAAAGATATCAACTGTTTTGATTATTCTAGTGCTGATATTCCCTCGTTCTACCATTTCCAACCCATTCGAACCTACCCAGCTCCAACTTAAAATTTTGCCTTGAATGAAAGATTTTATTTCAGACACTGGGATTTATACTGCATTTCCAGGATCTGAAGAAAATATGTCTCCAACTCGCGGCTCAATGATCTCAATGATGACAAACGAACTCATAGCCCACCCGATAGTAAGTGGTTATTGCAGCTCGTTGACATTGCAACCAACTACAACACAAAGAAGGCTACAGGCGTTATAACCTCTGAGACTTAAGAAGGAATGTGTCACAGACTCTAATTAAACCGGTTCTCTATATCCATCAGACCGGAACGCAGCAGTGCATGCATTAGCGCTTGACGGCTCAAATAGGTACACAAAGAGGGTGGTACCTACCCCGACGAAATTCTTAGGAAATCTTAACTGTTCAACAATTTTAATAATAGTAACACGAAAAAGAAATTTGCACAGAAGGTTTTTACTGCCCATTCACCGGTTATTTGGCTTGAACAAATTTCACAGCATCCGATAATAACGTTTAAATGAGAACATCGAAGAATGAATAAGATGCAATGCACTATAATCTGTTTTCTTTTTTATTATAAGTTTTTGTTTGTTCATATTTTATGCGTACCTTATGCCATGCCGTTCATTGGATTGCGTTAAAACTTTGTCAACATATTGCATGCACTTCCGCGATTGTTATAGGTATAGTATAATTAACTTACAGTAGGTGGCGCGCGTATCGTACCAACAAATTTATTTGAAACTTATATATAATTCAACTTCAATGAATGTACTATCATTCCCAATTAAACAAAATAATCCTTCCAAATTTAAAACGATATTTCCGCAATTATTTTTTCTGCGGTTTCAACGCGCCGGATACCAGCTAGTATACTATATTTTTTTTCTGTTTTACAGTTATACTTATATTAACATCATTTCGCATAAAAGCACATAGTTGTTGTTGAAAAGTTGGCCTAAATAATCTGTTAAAGCTCTGTGATTATAAAATGTGTGCATTGCAAAACCTTTAACACGCGTCCTTATCAATGTATTATGACGTAGCCAATGCACCCTAAAGACATTGAAAAAATATATATATTTAGGTAAGGTCTGTGATATTACCTTAGACTCTGAATCCAAACGCCACTCCCTACTACGCAGTGTACTTATCAGGTCTGTTTTCAATCTTTCAAATCTCTTCACTGTGCGCAATAATTCAGCCTGTAAAATATGGTTATTTTTATTATAACTAACATTATAATTTAGCCGACTGACCCTACTACTACAACCACTAAAGCCCACCACAAGGACTTAGCGCGCCTGTAGCGGCCATATATATGTATATTATAAATTATAACTACCCATTTTGCAAATAAACTATTGTAAGAAACTAAAATGTTGAGCTACAAGACAAGCTTTAATCCCACTTCCGAGGTAACAAGCTATTCCACTTCTGATGTTAGAAATTAATCTCAAAAGTATTTATATTAAAGAACACGACTCGGTAACAAATCCTGCTTACTATCATGACCCCCAATTACATGATAACACCAAAGTATGCAAACCAACAGCATCACTACCCATCTCAATGTAACACAGGGCAGCCTCTCAGCAACACGACCTTCCTTGCCTACAGTAGTAGAATAGCCCAACGGGCATAGTAAAGACAGTGAGATTCGTAGAATTACAGACTGATGCCTCTTAGTCGCCCGTGCGATACTTTATACTACTAAAACAAGTGGGAGATTATCATTCTACCTTTATTTGTTCGTATTTCTTTTTATTTTTTAACCCTCATTCCCAACACTATATTATAATTATAATATAGTTTATAGATGCAAAATAATTAGGACACGAGTACCATTCACAGGTGGGCGTGAATGAAAAATGTGATGAGAAATGAGGGCGATGTGGGAGTATTCAAATAGAGAAATGTTTTCGTTTAAAAATTTCCGCGCGCGGCCCTTTTTAACCTTGCGCCCCTAGGCACGTGTCTAGTTTTCCTTAAGGATAATCCGCTACTGCCGCTTCTGGAAGATGGAATTCATTATTTAGACGATTTCCCTCTCCATGAAGTCAGCCAGTTGTAGTCCCATTTGCTTTATTTCTCCAATCCCAAAGTTCCCCATTCAGCTTTTCATTTTTCCTTGTGCCTAGTCTCCCGTTACCACCGAGTAATGAATTTTAGAGAAATGTGACTCTTGATATATCCCCCTTTTTTGAATGTATGTATTTATGTTAATCTGTTCCTTTATGATTTTCTATAGTCTCAGCGGCCTTAATGGTTTTTAATTTCGAGGTGTCGTTTATATCATCGAGATCTTGGAGTGCCATTGTGTTTCATTGATGGTATCTAATAATATCCATACGATGCTCGCAAAAAAGCAATGCTTGCCTGGAGCCCATTTTGACTAAAGATATTAAGTAATAGAGTACCGTTACCGTCATAGCTTATCCAGTCTACTGTTGAGCATAGGGCTCCCCCCAATTTTCATAGTTGGCACGCTTGGCAACCGGAGTTTTTTTTTTTTAATTTAGTTTTACTTGTTTTTAGGAAGGCGCTACCGCTTACTCCTGGTTAGTTTCCCTATGTCGCCTTTTACGATACCCATGGGATGATACGGGCTATTTGATATTCTTACACTACATGTCGCAGCACGTAAGTCTAGCGCTCAGCGCAACGTGAAGGGGACGCGCACGAATTTGCACGAATGCGACTGGAGAACCAATCAGCGCATGCAAACGACACGCTCGAGCCAATCAGCGCGAATTATGCGCAATAACGGTCACCGCTAGATTTTCGTGCCGCTGCTTATACCACTATATAAAATAATATAACACTTGATTATAGCAATAGGGTTTTAATAATAAGTTGCTTATTAAAAAAGTGTATATTGAAAAAATATGTACCTAATACTTTTGGAGCTCGTATTTACTTAGTCAGGTCACAAGTTCTGTCAAAAACTTTTTATAAAATTAATGATACACTTTTTGATAATTATATAGAAAATATATTTGAAATTAAAGGTAATTTCATTTAGAATACAATTTTATTTACACTATTCAAAATGCCCTCCCATATTATGAATACATTACACCGCCCTTAATCGATGCGGCCAATCATCAATCGCAGCACGCACCACACTCATACTCATATCTACTTCTGCCACTGCTTTAGCCAAAGATGCTCGGAGAGATTCCAAATTCTGATGAGGTTTAGCGCAGACTTTCTCCTCCAAATGTTGCCATATCTTATAATCCAGTGGGCTTAAATCTGGACTGGAAGAGGGCCAGTATTCATGTCCAATAAAGTCAATTCCATGGGCGGTCAACCAGTTTCGCGTGCTTCATGCCCTATGAGCTGGTGCAGAGTTCTGTTGGAATATCTAATGTCTGTTTTTGAACATTGTTTGAGAAAGAGGTCTCACAATGTTTGTTAGGACGGTATTTTGGTACACCTCTGCACTGGTTTTTACACTTTTTTCAAAGAAAAACACCTCAGTTAACTCTGAATATGAGACTCCAAGCCAAACAATGAGTGACGAATGATAATGTGCTCGTTGAACCCTCGAAATACGCGTGCTGGCTTCTTCACTGCTGTGGACATTTTTTTATAGGATAAGGGTGACAAACGAACACACAGTCCACTTGATGGTAAGTGGTTGCTGCAGCCCATAGACATCTACATCTATCCTCTATTACAAATCAAAATGTAGATGCGTTATCACCCGTGAGGACTAAGATGGAATGCCTCATTTCCAGTAAAAAGGGCCTCCGGCCACCTGCACTCACCAAGCGAAACGCAGAAGTAAACCTCTACTTCACGCTGGTTTTCTGTGAGGTCGTGGTACCACCCCGGTTCGAGCCGGCCCATCCGTGCGACAGCAAAAGCTGCCGCGTAGCTCTACCGCTGTTAATACACCTTATCATTATGTTTATTATAATTTTCTTCGATGTTAAAAATTTTTTCATCCGAAAACAAAATTTCGCGGCATTTTTTTCCCGTGTACCACCGTAACAAAGCGCGGGATCTATCCAGCCTAATTTTTTCAAACGCTCGTTCAAAAAATGTCCGGTCTTCTTACGATAAGTTCGTAATCCTAGGTCTTCATTGATCACTATTTTGACCGTGGTTCTGCTTAGGCCCATCTGAAGAGCTGAGATATTTTGTTTACGAACAGAATTTCGTTGGATTCGCGCCTTCACTGCTTTCATGATCGCGGGTGTCCTAACTATACGAGGTCGGCCGGTCCTCTTAGGATCTTCGAAGCTTGAATCTTCAGTGAATCGTTTGATAGTGCGATAAACAAATCGTAGGGTTATTTTCAATTTTTGTATAATATTGAAAATCTCTTTTGGCGCGTAACCACAGCGGTGCAACGCGATAACCGCTACTCTATCTTCTTTCTTCGACCACTCCACATTTGAAAATGAATGAAAATTAATGTCTTTTTTATTTTCGGCATGCGCAAACGTTATATTTTTAAAATTGGTGAAATTCATCTAGCCAGTATTCAAAAATTTTAAATAATAAGGTTTTGACAGAACTTATGACCCGACTAAGTATATTATAATTAGTAATTTAAAAAAGTACTTACGGGTGTTAGAATATCAAGGTTAATATTTAGGTCATCGTGTTTGAGTTTACAATCTGGAATCATAAGACAAGATAATGGATAAGTAGGTAAAAGCAAGGTCTGTGTACGTCCCACTGCTGGGCACCGCCGAGCTGCTCTAATTGTAATAAATAATAAAATCTACATTGTTAAATTGTTATTCCGAGACATACAGGTTTCTTCACAATGTTTTCCCCGCCGAACATGTAGTGAACACTTAAAATAACAATTGATAATTTTTCATAGTAGATATAAATTGTGCTTGATTTAGAAAATCCAGAAGGTACTAAACTCAAGTTATAGGTGCAGTAGTTTGGCAGGTGAGTTGATATCGCAATATCAAACATATAAGTTCACAATTGATACACCTCTGCATATTGTAGATTGTGGCAGTTTTGAAGTTAGGTGTTGAACCTGATAATGATTGAACAGGATAGCGGCAATAATGCGACGTATCGGCTCGCAAGACTTATTACCAGTCTGTGTTCAACACGGTGTTCACCTGCGTGTGTGGATCCGCCACCCACGTACGTGAAGCCAACATTGGCAGAATTAGTTGTTAAATGCCACGTCTACAATATACAGACGTGTATTATTTATGGACCTATAAGAAGTATGGTATTGTAATAAAGGACTTCCGATCTAGAGAGCAACCTCTGACTGATAAATGGCGAAACACTCTTTTCCCTACCCTAAATCCCTCAGCTGATTTGGAGCTGCTTACCAGGGGGAAAATAGCTACGCGCTTGTCAACCCGCATACCCAGCTTGGTAAGCACAGGCAAATCTTTCATCATACATTTCAATGAAATGTAGATACTGTTTACAACACTCTTTAGAAGGCTTTTATCTAGCAGTGAATTCAAAAGACTAAAAGGGTAATTCGATCGTTGAACATCGAACTTGAGAATAGAAATGCTCTAATAATATACCTGGTCCGCAAGCTTTAGCATTCTTGATTCTCTCTTTTAAAATAGGTAATTGTTCTTTCAAAGTTTCTATAGCATCCAGCAACTGTTTATGTCTTTCACTTTCCTTTTGTAATTCATCATCTTTATTCCAGGGATAGTCATTTTTTCGTAATTCTTCTTGCATAGAAACTATTTGCTTTTCTATTTCATTGTTTTGCCACGCTGCGGCTTCTCTGGTTAAAGATAAGCCACAAAATGTTATTTTGTTGTTGTCAATAAGTTAATTAATATGTCTTTTAATAAAGTTAGTAGGTACATAAAAGTTAAAAATATATTTTTAAAAATTCTAAAGGAAAAAGCAGATTAAGCGTATAATTTTAGCTACAATTTACCTGCAACTTTTTTCATGTTCCAATTCTGTTTTAAGGCTTTCAATTTCATTATCATTCATTTTTAATTAATATGATTTTTTTTTGATGTTACAATAATTAATATTTGTTCTAATAAGGAATAACTTGATCATGCGATTGATTTAACAATCATTAGCAACCGTAGTGGTAGTAAATGTTAGTGGCAACCATTAGATTTTTAATTATGAAATCATGTTAGGGGTTGTGTAAAAAAAGCCTTTTGTGTGAAAAAATTGATGACGAATTTATTTTTAAGAAAAGAAATAAAGCGGTGTCTCTGTCATCTTTCTCCATAAAGACGTCTTGTTCCACAAAGACGAATTTTTCTTTTCACATATTATACCAACATTGATGAAATAGATCAGATGTTTAGCCTATCTCTTTTACTCTCGTACTTTTAGTATCGTCATTCAAACTTATTGTGTTAATGAGTAAGGTGGTTCCGCCTAAAAAGGCCCGGTTACAAATAAGGTCCATCTCTTCAAACTTATCGGAATTAATACTTAAACCAAAATGGATATTGCGCTGCCGCTCCTAAGTAACCAATTACAAAAGTGCACCGGCGTTCATTGCTTTTGCGGTGGCCATTTTTTTAGAGGCTCTGGGTATAACTTCAGGGGCGGTTGACGTGACTCAATCTATAAAATATTCTGGTTCAATTTTGCGTTGTTTTAGTCATGAAAACTCCGTCGTTATGTAATAATTCTGCAATAGTAATGTTAAAATACTTTCAGAAGATGGATTGACGAGGTAAGTTACCAAAATTATTGCTTTTTATCACGATTTTGTCATATCAGGTTAGGTTATATCTAAGTGCTTAACAAGGTCCACTTTTTGTCTCAAAAGGCCAGACCTTATTAGGGGCAAGAAGCTTTAAAATAGGCGTGATCAGTGACTTAAATGAATTATATAAGTGTAAATAAGCAGTTGGCCTGGCAAGTGGCACTTTTGTGCGGTGATAACGACAGATCACCACGCTAGGCCATAGCTATCGCACAAAAATACCACATGTCTAGACACCTTTCCTTCCTTGCACTTCAACTAATATTGAAAAAAAATAATCCAGACGCTTTCGAGTTTTATATTATCAACACATTTACCCATTCATTTTTACGTAGTTTTATAAGATTTTATTTACCCAAATCAACAGTACCTTTTGACATAAGTATTGTACATACATAATATAAGTATATTGTTTCTAATAAAGACAAAAATGGAACCTTCGCAAAAAAGAAAACGATGCTCAGGATGGTCTCTAACTGATCTTCAGGATGATATGAAAAAATAGCCAAATGTCTAAGTGTGCAGCAGCTTTAAAATACCATAAATTACGGCGAACGTTGAAAAATCACATAAAATCTGGAAGCGTGGTGAAGAGGATGAGAAGGAAAGCTGTCTTTACCGACACACAGGAAAAGGAATTGGTAGAAAGAAGTTTTCAAATATTACCTTTGCCTGAAACATTTCGCGGAAAACCCAAAGCATTTTAATTTTAATTTAAGGAATTTTTAACCAAGTGCTCGACAAAACCAAATCTAATACTCCTTGACAGCGTGATTCAACGCTCCAGGGGAGCCCTAATCTTTCCACCACCAAGTGGAAGCCACACCGCATGAACCCGAATCCCATAGAGCGCAAACCGCTAACAGTCGCCACTCGGGTTGTACGCCTTCACTGAGACCATCGGCAATAGAACAGTTTAACAAGTGGATTGTTGAAGGCTCAAAGGCTCAGTGGAGGCGGCCGTGGTGGGAGCTAAGGCGGCAGCTAGCTAGGGCTGCCTCCATCAAAGGGGGGACGGTGGTACACCAGTCGCGGCCACTCAGCTAACGGGGGTGAGAAGGGTCTAGCGGACTGCTGAGTGGCCGTGAAGTTCCCACACTGAGGGGGGCGATGACACCCCCGCCCCTGGGGGAATTACCCCCCGACTGGGCGGGGGAGGGACCCCTTTCAAACTTAGGGGCCCAGTGGCCGGCCGGCGAGCGCCAAGCATCGTCCGTCAGAGGGCGTGGCTAAGCGCCCCCACCCGTGGGGGTCGAGGGTCGGGCAGAGCCCTGAGAGGAGACGCCGTTCGCACTTAGGCACAAAACTGCATGGTGACCACCCCGGCAATGCGGACAGGGCCGCTGGTGCGGGCAGTCTCGTTGGAGGTGCCCTTCCAGACACGAGTAGCACCAGCGGCGCTCCCTAGCGATAGTTCGCCTCGCCGGAGCCGGCTTACTTAATAATTTCGGGCACGAACGTTACACGGTGATCAGATGCTCGACAATAGGAGCAGGGGGGCGCCTCCCTGGCCGCTAGGCCACTGTAAGATGGTAGGGAGCGACGCCCTCCCCCGCGGGAGCTCCGATAGGCCTGGGGGGGGGGGGGTTGACGACGACTTGCCCGGCGGATTCCGCCTCTCACTGGGCACGGCTCGTAAGTCGTCAAGGGTGCCCGCCGCGTTCTTAATCTGCCGGCACTGTTGCTCTAAGAACCGCAGCAGTTCATTGAAGGGCGGAATATAGGCGGCCCCGTCCCCTCCGTACCTCTCCTCAAAATGTATCCGAAGGTCGAGAGGTAGACGGGACAGCACGATGTGGAGCAACAAAAAGGAACATTCGTCCACTGGTAAATCCAGCCGCCTCAACGCATTACAGGCCACCAAGACTGGATTCACCAGGTCCGGACGTAGTCTGGCCCGGTCACTAAGCAGCGGGAGGCTTAGAAGCTGCTTAACATGTTTGTCCGCAATTCGCCGAACGTTGGCGTATCTTCTGGCTAGGAGGTCCCGAGCAGTCTGGTAAGCGTCGTCCGGCAATCTCTAGTGGCCGACGACGCCCAGGGCCTCCCCCTCCAGTGAGGCCAGGAGGTACGCCATCTTCTGGCTCGGGGTCAAGTCCCTCCGGGCGTCCACTAGGCTGTCGAAAAGACCAACGAAGGTCAGTCATTCGGAAAGGATCCCGGAGAACCTTGGCAGGTCCAGAGTTGGGAGTCGTCCCAACAGCTCCGGCTGAGGTTGCTTCCGAGAAGACTCGGACAGGCCCCTCAGCCGAGCTTCACGTGCTTCATTAGCATACTTGGCCCCCGCCTCGATCAAATCGTCCGTGAGCGAAAAAAATTTCTCGTAGTCCGCGAGGCAGGAGTCTAGGACTTCCTGTTCCGCATCCGAGGCCAAAAGCTCTGTGCAAGCCTCCTCCACTACAGCCCTTCGGGCATCGATCTGCTCGAGCCGCTTCCCTAAAATAAAAACCAGATCAGGTCGACCTATCAACATATGGGCGTTCGCGGCCCAGCGCAGCTCCGCTTGCAGGCGGAGCACCGGTTGCTTGTGCAACGGCATCACTAATAAATACAAACTAATGCCCAAAAAAAACACAAATCAAATTAACAAATAACAAACACTAGTACGATCAACTCAAGTTAAATACAAATTACTATTTATTAAATTAAATACAAGTTAGCACAAAAAAAAAACACAAATCAAATTAACAAATAACAAACACTAGTACGATCAAATCAAGTTAAATACAAATAAAGGTACACACCACAGTCGATCAACAAAATTATCCGATTACGTGATAACCTTTTCTACCTAGTTAAAGTACCTAGCCTTAACAAACTACGGTAAGTACCTCGCCTTAACAAAACTCCCGCTTGCTCAACCTACGGGCGCGGCTTTCCAATCTACCCGCTAACAAACAAAAAAAGCAAGCAACAAAGGAAAATAATTTTATTATTACGTATTACGGCCGGACGTGATTGTAGACACAAAATTAAACCAATCCAACCAACGCTCCCTGCTAACAAAAATGTTACGGCCTACAGCTGCCCCTGCAAATATCGAAATTCCCGGGGCCCATGAGCTTAAGATTCAACGAGCAGCCGCAGGTTCGAGCCCGAGTGGCTATATGGAAGAATTTCCTATAATACTAAGCTATATGGAAAATGTTTTATCCTACTACAATTTAATGGGGAGGCTTGTCAAATAGAGATTACTTACCTGTATATGAGGCGACTGCTGTTTCAGGGCTCGGTCAGGCCGGAGGTGTGTATGTGTTGAGTATAGTGGTGTTTTTGTGATGTTGGTTGTGATAGACCTGACTGGACTGTTGAAGTCGGCAGCAGCCCGGACTTCGGCACCGCTCCAAATTGTGTTAATCTCCAGCGGCGTCACCCACAGTCACTTTCTTTCTTCTTCACTATGTCAGTCTATTAACTATACCGTACAATTAACTAACTTCCAGACGCCACTAACACTCGTTTATTATAAAGCGTAACACATAACACGAATACCGAATGTTCGGATCAAAGATCACTTCCGTTTCGCGTAGCAACAATTATTTCTAGAACAATTCAGACGTTGATCGCAATCAATGTTAACTTCCAAGCAAGTAGCAACCAACTGGCTGCAATCCCCGGACGCGGGCCGCTGGCAACAAAACTACCGTTAACCGCCCACATGTCTAACCGGTTATGAACGCGCTGTATCGAGCCGAGCGCCCTCCGGCGTCAAGTCTTGAAACCAACGTTTGGGCGTGAACAGACTGGTTATTAACATTTTGTGATTTTCTTTACTAGAGATAATAAAAATCTGCACACAACTACAATTTGTTTGATTTATAACTATATAATAAATTAGTTATAACTTATATTCATTTCCTAATACTTTATAAGGGCCACGCATAGAATTATTACCCAGTAGAAACGCAGTCTAGTACAAAACACGGGCGTTAAAGTGATGCAAGGTCATTATGTTAGTGGGCGCGAGTCGAATGTGCCTACGCTCGTCACATGCACACATACACGGCTTTCAGTAATACCAGTTTTTGACGTTTGCAATCAAATTGTGCAAATTACTATTTTATTGATTAATTTTAAATAATCGATATAATAAACATTATGTATTTACGTACGAAGATATATTTTATGAGTATATAAAATGGAATAAAATAAACACGATAATGATGGTACTAATATAACTTAATTATACATATTTTAATGGTACAAAAATACAGACGTAATAAAATTTAAGAATATTATTATTTATAATTAATTTGCT